TTTGAACCACAAAGCTGCAATCCCAGCTCCGAGTGGCTGTGAAATGCCGCCTAGGAAGGACGACCACGCAATGGCTTTAAATCTGGAGCCAAGTGCGAGATAAAGAGGTAGGGACATGGCGAAGCCTTCCGTGATGTTGTGGATGAACAATGCCATGAAGACAGCGAAACCAAGCTGAGGATTTGCGTGGTTAGTTGCATACGTAATGAAGCCCTCGGGAGCTTTGTGCAACGCGATGGCCAACGAAGTCTGCAGACCAATTGACATAAACGCGTTGGTGGGGACGTGGTGGTGGTGTTCATGTCCGCCCAAAAACGAATGTTGAGACGGCCGACGTTCGGACCCGGCTATGCTTGTATGCTGGTGTGCAGGGTGGTGGAAGTGATGCGTCGAAGACTTTGTACGGTGTAACCCCGGCTTCAAGCTCCCCGTATCGGCGTCCTCAGTCGTATGACGTCCAGGAATCGACCCGTTTGACAAAGGATTCTCATCGACTTCTCCCAGCGTCGGCCCCACGCGTACCTCAGTCGTACCACTTCGCCACGTGGGCGAGCGTAAGAAAGGACCGTGACCTGGTAACACAGAGCCTCGTCTCTGCACCGCCTTGAAGCAATCCGAACCACAGGGATCCGAGAATCCCATACATGGACCTGTCTCGTCACAATTCTCCTTTTGACTCCCCACATACCTTGAAAGGGTCCTCGACAGCGTTCTAGGCATTAGTGACGACCTCCGATGGGTCTGTGCGGTGTGAAGTGGATGCTGGCCGTCAGATCCATTCTCTTCAGCTCTTTCATATTGGGGCTTTTTGGGACTGAGACTGGTCGTTCGGGAGAGTAAAGGAGTGTCCTCATCCTCCTCTTCCATCTGCCCAGGGAGGTTCTTGGATATCGGGAGACCGTTTGTATGCTCATCATCCAGCGCATGTTCTGACATTTCTTCGTGACGCTTCGCCTCCTCATCGTCATGGCTGTGGTCGCAATCTACGACATGTGAGGGAATGTATTGATGCAGGACGCGGGAGAAGATCTGAATGCCTATGGCACCTGCTAGAAACAACCCGATCAGAAGGTATGATGCGGCCGGCGGCGAATAGCCCGCGTCTTTGAAATAAGTTTTCGACTGCGGAAGCATCGAGTACAGGGCAGAGAACAACTACCACTAGAGTCAATTCTGGCATTGCACAGCGTGCGGAAAAGACTTACCATGACCCCGAAACTCAGGCTTAATGATGCAGAAAGAAAGCCATTACTCTCCGAGATCGAAAAGTGTCGCCAGCGTGGAAATTGTCGTACCGCGATATCGACACAGATGATCGAAGAGCCGATAACACACGCTATGAGGTCAAAATCAGTCTTCGTTGACCGGCAATTTTGGAAGACAAAGCTGCATACCAATACCGCTGATGCATGTCATGATCCACCCTTTGGTATCCTTGTCGATGGCCATCTTGCCGCCTCTCTTTTCCTCTTAAGCCGCAAGTTCATGTAGCAATGTATGGTGGGATGTAATTTGTTGATGTTGCACCGAGTTACTCATGCTAGTGTCTGGAGTCAGTGGCAAGAAGTAGAGTGTAGGAATAAAGAGCAAGACGTCAGGCTGAATGAGCTATTATATTATGTTGGTTAGGAAGGCTCGATCGCAGTTGCACCAGGTGGGATGACGAACATTCCCAAGACTTCTTTGGAGGACCTTAAGACCATGGCCCTTTGTGGCTTAGTTGAAGCACGGGGGCCAAGGGTCGCGAGCGGCCCCAATCATGGGCCGCCCAAATCGTGTTTTCAGGGCTGGTCCAGCCTTGTCATCTTTAACTGGAACCCACCACACCCAGCGCGACTAGGCACCAGCAGGGGTCAGCAGATCCGCTACCGGGCCAGCTGCCGATTGGCCTCAAGCCTACGATCGCTGGTTCTCCTTTCTCCTTCCTGTCCATCTTGCGGACGCGTTTCTTCGTGAGACGGCATCGACATTGTCTTGCCGACTTTGTACATGTCCAAGACCACCATTGCTATTATAGCAGCGACGTCTGCGTTTGCAGGCGCGTCGCTGACGGCTTTGCTGTTTCCTAGCCATCGAAAAGATGAGCCCAAACCGACACCAACATTGAATGGGGGATCTTCAACAATACCTGCACCGTCAATTCCTCCCGCTCCCATTCCAGTGCCCGTACCAGTCCCAGTTGCTGCACCACCTCTACCTCCTTCAACTGCCGTCCTCTCACCTGTCGATCCTTCTGGTATCCTACGATATGGATTTCCTGGCCCTATCGCTGATACATTGGCCACTCCCTCACACCTCTCTTCCTTCAACAGGTTCACTCGAAATCCCCATTGGGTAGCAGAACATTTTACAGCACAGTCTCTGCTGCTGAACAACGGATCTCGACGAAATAGTGTTTTCTACGAAGACTTGTCGATTCCTTCCATGTTTCGAGCAAAACTGTCCGATTACTTTCGAAGCGGGTACGACCGAGGGCATCAGGTTCCGGCAGCAGACGCAAAATGGTCGCAAGAGGCAATGGACTCCACATTCATCTTGAGTAATATGTGCCCACAAGTTGGAGAAGGGTTCAACCGTGATTATTGGGCTCATTTCGAGGAATTCTGTCGAGATCTGGTAAAGAGATTCCCTAGCGTCCGGGTGGTGACTGGCCCGTTGTACTTGCCGAAGAAAGACGAACGAGATGGAAAATGGAGAGTCTCTTACGAAGTGATTGGCAACCCTCCCAACGTTGCAGTGCCCACTCACTTCTACAAAGTCATCTTCGCGGAAGAGGCTGCTCAGAGCCCAAGCGGATCTGTGGCTCTCGGTGCATTCGTCTTGCCCAATGCTGAGATACCCAACTCCAAGAGCTTGAGCGACTTCGAGGTGCCTCTCGAAGCGGTCGAAAGAGCCAGCGGATTGGTGTTCGCAGACAAACTACCACCTGAGAGGAGGAAACGACTTTGCAGGGAAGTCAGATGTGAGATAATGGTGCGAGAATTTGACAAGAGTCGTCAACAAGCCAACAACCTCGGCCAGGTCTCGAGGGGCTCTCCGCAAATGCTGCAACCTGGAGGCAAGTGGTAACTGCGCCACCAGAGCGGAGTCCGGACTGGAGTTGAACGCAATTGCCTGGATTGAGTCAGCCTGTTCCCTTGTTCAGCACCTTAAGAACCCGCTTTAGAAGCTGCAGTTCGTTCCGATTTTGCAGATCTACCCGTTTTGTATTACCTGGCCCTAGAGCGCCGCATACGAGGCGATAGATCAATGAAAACACGAAATGGAAAGCTTACTATCCAGCCACGAGAAGGAATCAAAGAACGCTATACGCCGAAAACGTGCGTTTATTCGCGTTGGACTGTACACCTGCGAGTCATTCTCCCATGGCCTTTTTCAAATGTGCCTCTATTAGTGGCCGCCCATTACTCTCTGCCGACTTGGTGGCCATTAGAGTGATTGCTGCCGACAGCACTGAATGAAAGCAGAGCCGTTCAACCGCTGGGGTCGGATGACAGTGTTGAATTCATTGAGCGGTACCACGAGATCTACCCAGAATTGCATTCCGACCGCAAACATACGCATTCAAGAATCAAGTTAGGAAAATATGCCTCTGGATGGTTGATGGAGGCTTAAATGGAGTGCGCGAGACAATGTTTGTGTAGAATCGCGAGCATGTAAAGTGTACTTCGTAGGTGTTTGTATTAGCAGAGTAAGGAAATAGGGCGGATTGACGTCGGCGCATTGCCAAGCAAGTTCCTCGGGCTCCTTTGGCTTTGCTGGCCTCGCTGGATTGCTTGTGCTCCATCGCGGCTGCTAGCCCGCTCGGAGATCTAGCTCAAGTATTCTCGCAGCTTGCATCGACAATTTCCCAACCCAGCACCAGTGCCTCTTCAGCACCATTCTTACGACCCAAAATGACTCAAGTCTACTTGCTGGACTCTGACCACCTGTGTTCGCTTCTACGAGAAGCTCTATCCTGGAGTGAAAATGTCTCGTCGCTCATGGTTTCTGCTCTGAACGGATCAATACTCGCATATGCCTACAGGGACACTACGCCATCGATTAAAGATATGCGCACTCACTCTACAACGATGACAGCAGCTTACACGGTTGCGTCTGAGGATGTCCTCGTCTTCGAGGCACAAAACATGGGAGCAATATCCGTGATCGCTCCTGTTGCCGATCATGTCTTGTTGGCCGTGACAGGACCGGAGCCGAAGCAGAAAAAGGGCCTGCAGAATGGCCTTGGTCAATCCCAAGAGCACGGGCAGATGGCCAACGGCGTCGAAGGTCATACAGAAGAGGAGGGAAGAGAGGAGAATGACAACCACGAGGAGGAGGAGGAGGAGGAGGAGGAGGAGGACAGCGATACCCAGAAAATCCGGGAGGACCTTGAGGCTGTAAGCCAGGAACTGGCTAGTGGGCTAAGGGGAGAGCTGGCTGTGATGAAATGGCCTGACGATATATGATAATATCACCTTCCGCTGTAACAGGACCTTCGACCTGCGATATCGTTCAGAAAGCCGCCCGTCGTCAACGAGTTGGCGGGAAAGGATACCAACTATCATACCTGCGAGTACGAAATCACATCTTCTGTGCGCTAGTTCAACTTGTACCCCTCTGGCAGAGGTCGGCGCATATATGGCAACTGGCGTCTCGCTACCGACTGTGATTAATTGGTCAGAGTGGCAGCAACAGCGATCCAGCTTTTTGGCTGAACTACGGACGGAGAACAACCCCCCGCATTGAAGGCCGGGGACCCACCGAAAGCTGGGAGAACACCGGCAGAATGGGCTAGTGGGTGAAGGTGTTAGGGACCCCCAAGGGACCCCTTACCCAAACCCCGACTTCCCACCTCTCACGATCGAACTCGAAACTCAATCTTCCACCTCCATCGTTCCCAGCATTTTCTGCTTTCCTCCTCGTATAACTGCCGCCTCCTGGCCTTGCGCGACCCCTCGTTCCTTCCACCGAGTCTCTCGCGCCGACAATAAGACCTGCTATCGTGTCCCGTTACCATGTTGTACGTCCGAGATCTCTTGGCCGGTTCTGCTGCCTTCCGCTAATTGCTTCTGCGCAGTGCGATTCCCCCGCCGCCGCGGTATCCCACCAACAGCGGCTTGGTTGCGACAACTCTCGAAACCGCAAATACTCTGACCATCCGCGAAGGTCCCGAATACACGTTTCAAGCCGGCGAAGGTAGCTGCGATCCTAATCCCTACCGCCCACACAATCTACTAAGAGACGGACAGGCACATATGTTTTACGAGACGACCTACAACTCGCAACCCCACCGCCTCATCCTTCTGAAGCCCCCGTCGTCAACCCCAACCCTCTAGCAACCAGCGTTACTCCCCCCACGAGCGGTGTTAAGCTGTCTCTGGTATCACTTAGCCCAAAACAAATTACTCCCGACCTCTACAGAACCACCACCGCGACAAGCAGTCTTCTGCGCTGGAGATCCTTGGGATTAAACAACTCAAAAGAGACGAAGGAGTCCAAGGAGCCCAAGGACGTGAGAGATTTGAAAGAAATCAAGGAGGTAGAGAAAGAGCCAAGGATATCCATAGAAACCGGTAGCGACAGCAGCAATCCCGCGACGACATCACAAAATGGAAGCAACAAGTCGAGTACAGTGAAAGCGTTCGGTGAGGGCAATGCTGCCTTGTCGCCTATCATCAGCAGAGATGGTCTCAAACGACGGAAACCGAAAAACAACATCATTAAAAGCAACTCCTCTTTCGTCTCTCGTGTCATTCCCCACGAATCCCTCGCAAAGAAGCTTCAAGACCGAGATCAGCGGGGTACATTCGCCTTCGTCAACATCAACCGCGCTTTTCAGTGGTTAGATCTGGCTTCAGGAGCTAAACAGGACCCAATGACCAAAATCCTCTTTACTAAGGCCAGTACCTGTTCTCTTCGCAAGACGATGTCGTGTTTGCACAAGCCATTGTTACCTTCCATCAGGGCCGGTCTTAAGCTAACTAACACCTGCAGGCTCACATGCTATGTCACGATGTCAACAGCATGACCAAGCACTCGACGCATATGGACATTGTAATGGGATCCTCGGCTAGTGATATCATCTGGTACGAGCCCATATCACAGAAATATGCCCGCATCAACAAAAATGGCATCATCAACAACTCAGCGGTTTCCGCCATCAGATGGATACCTGGGTCTGAGAACCTCTTCCTAGCTGCCCATATGGACGGAACTCTGGTCGTGTACGACAAAGAAAAGGAAGATGCGCCGTTCGTCTCGGAAGAGCTGGTGGATGAAGCGATCAGTATTGAAGACGAAGATCAGTCTACCTTGGTCATCAGTAAGAGTGTGAACTCGTCCAATCAAAAAGCAAACCCGGTAGCTTGCTGGCGGATTTCCAATCAGACCATCACCGATTTCGCTTTTTCACCAGACAATAGGCACCTCGCTGTGGTCGGAGATGATGGGTATCTTCGGATAATAGATTATCCTCAAGAGAGGTGCGCCGACAGATTCACACTCGGTATCTCTTCTAGGATTTGCGAGACTGATGTTGCGCAGGCTAACCGATATATATTCTTCCTATTATGGCGGATTTACCTGTGTATGCTGGTCGCCTGATGGCAAATACGTGCTCACCGGGGGCCAAGACGATCTTGTCACCATTTGGTCGCTAGCCGAACGTCAGATTATTGCTCGGTGTCCTGGACATGACTCATGGGTAACGGCTGTTGCTTTCGATCCGTGGCGCTGCGACGAGAGGACATATCGTTTTGGCAGTGTGGGCGATGACTGCAAGCTCCTGCTTTGGGACTTCAGTGTTGGCATGCTGCATCGTCCAAAAGCGGTAAGTAGATTAGTATGGAACCAAGGTCGATTTAACAGCCGCTTACACAAAGTATCAGGCAACCGCTAGGCCTAGAGGCAGTATCTCAGCCCAATCAATTTCACTGCTCCGTCAGCGGACAGAAAGTTCAGGCATCGTCAACCGAATCAGATCTGATTCAAACCGGACCGGAAGTTTCGTCCAGCCGGACACGGTCGACGAATCCGAATTCCTCAATCACCCTGTTGAACCCAGAGCACGGACAGCCCAACTGCCCCCTGTAATGGTATGTTCTTGGTGTTGTTGCCATGCAAGAGTCTTCAACGGGGCATACACTGACACGCAATCAACAGTCCAAGAAGATAGATGATCATCCGCTGAGTGCTCTCGCATTCGAGCAGGACTGCATCATCACGACTTGTCATGAAGGTACGTCCGCTCTTTTATTTGTGTTCTTGCCGACTTCGTCAATGGAGGAAGAGCTTGTATTGAATACTCACAATCTTAAAGGACATCTGCGCACTTGGAATCGACCTCGAGAAGCCCCGAACAGCAGTCAGATAGATATCTCCGAAAAGCCGAGGCCCTGAATGGTATATACAAAAGGCCTGAAGACGGCGAAGGCCTGATGCCACAAGGCGCCACTACCTGCTGTATCGCCTCATTCCACTACGAGTATGATCAGCGATTTGCAAGTCTTTTTCCTTGCTAGATAACCCTCGTTAAGGGCTCCAGGTCGGGTGAGGTGGAAAGTTCTAGCTATCAGCGCATCGGGAATGTCGACAGGGTAATGAGGCATAGCGCATGAGCAAAAATCTTCGTCTGGTGTACTTGGTAGTTGATGATGCGCTACTGGCCTTCGCGGGACGCCAAACCGCCCGATGTTTGCAAACTTGGGCATGAAGACGGTGCGATCGACAACAGAGAACTTTCACGGCAATACAGCCGTAGTGGGTCTGCCAGTATACAAGTCGTAAAATGTCTAGCCAGAGAGCAGCGTGTGACCGACGAGATACTCGTTGCAGCAAAAGTTAGTCAACCACAACGAACCACATGACGACTGCATGGTATCATTGATGCCAGCAAGCATTTCCCAAGTAGACGCTTAGCACCGAGGGTGCCGATCAGCCGGAGGATAGGGGAGTTTTGTCAATTCCCTTGAGCCGGTTCCATGAGTTGCTTCTACCCTGGCCTTCATTGAGTTTCTGGCGGCACCATAATTCCGAGATGCTGCCATCGGACCACTCACAATTTCCAAGATCTTGATGCATTTTTGCACAACCTAATGCTGAAGTGGCAGTGTTCCAAAAGAGCGCGGGCCCGAGAAGAGCATAACTCGTCTCAAGGTACCATCGCTCCGAGTAGACTTTCCCAGAGGAGTCGTAAGCGGCATAAGAAAGCGAACAAGGTGGGATGAAAGAGTAGCCACATCTGGGCGTCATGCAGCCCATGCAGGGTACTCTGCTCGTTTGCTATGTCCAGGCCAATGAAGGGTACCGAGTCAGAAGGGAAGTAGGGGGAGGCGCTCGCAACGAGAGATGACTCCTAGCCAGGGAATAAACGAGCCCAAGGGGCTACTGTCATTCAGGAGTTGGAGGTGCATACTCCATAAGATTGTTTCTGACTGTGCATCCAGTGAAAGGAGAGCGGCGGCTTTGTAAGAAGCCCACGTTTTCCTGACTGGGATCAGCTCGCAGAGGCAAGGGCCATTTGCCAGCCCTGACGATCCTTGAGGGGGCCTGTTGGAGAATTGGCAACGAATAATTCTAAGGGGGCGAGCACACTTTTTTAAAGACTAAAGGGCCAGCTGCTCGTGTGAGGTGTTGTGCTGCTGCGCAGTTCGAAGGACACGTACACGTATTCGCAGGCACTGCCAAAGCAGGAAATCAAGACACCACAATTTACTATTAGCAACGCCAGCTGCCTCCCTCTTGTGCCATCAGCATCAGTTGCCATCCTCCATCCTTGGCTTCCTTCCCACGTGCCTCGATATTTCGACCCGGAGGCCATAAGTAGCAGGAGAGTAATTACGCTACTCATCTTTTCTGGTCAGAAGAACACCACATCGGCTCTTGTGGCTCATTACTATCAGCCTGACAATCGGTGCTATCAGGCTTATCTTGGCCTGGGCGTCAGTCTCGCCCGTGCCCGCCTGTTCCTGCGATTCCCGACGATTTCCATCCTAGCTACCTTTGAGCCCACCGTCCAGGTGACAAGGTTTCGGAAGAGATCGCGGTCTTGAGGGACTCGCCAAAAGAGTAGCGCAGCCACAAAGCAGATTGGCCAGATTCAGTGGAACAGGGGTCAACCGGGTGCCAAATGCAGACAGATATAACACCGAGAAGAACACAGAGCACTGGAAGAACAGGGAGTTAAAATATGACGCTGGGAAGTCAACGAGCGGCAGGGACGAGAGCGATATTGCGAGAACTCCCAGTCCCGATGCTGGCACCTTTGGGCTCTCTGAAGGCCACAGCGAAGATCAGGGCCAAAGTCAAGGTCAGGACACCGTTGGCGGCTCAAGTGGAGGATCCAGACTCAATCCTGAACCACGGCATCCAGACCGCTGTGAGCCACCGGGCTCAGGTGGACGGCGAAGAAACGCTCGGAGACGAAAGCGCAAACAGCAGAGGGCGAGGCAGATCCGACACCACCAACACGACAGCCTCCTTTTGGACTACGGCTTCGTCGTCGAACTCGATACCTGCCATCACATTCAGCGAGAGCAGCAGTCCTGATCCTGGCCACGAGGATATCGAGGAAGCTGCAAGTTGCCCAATCGAAGCGGCCATTGAAGCCGAAATCGCAGCACAGGCACAGTCAGGCTCAGGCATAGAGCCAAGTCTAGGTTCCACCATTGAGGGGGGCTCGGCGTCATCGGTATCACTCACGGGAGCCTTAACCCGAAGCGTGCCTAGGGTGTCTAGGGTGCCTGGAAAGGCGCCTCAATCCACTGGCCCGGGGCCAAGATCGGCATCTTCAACATCAGCATCATCATCATCATCAGCGGCAGTGGTGGCAGCACTACCAGCACAAGCACCACCGGCACCACCACTGCCACTCCCGGTATCAGGGAGAACAGCCGGAGTGGACCATCCAAACCATCATCAGAGGGACCCGCGGCTGATAACAGTAAGTTCCCTCTCGGCCATTTCATTAGCCACTCTGGCTGCCTCTTCTCAGCCATTCCCGCCCGGCACCCACCAACAACCCACCAACACCCACCCAGCACGCAACCTGTCTACCCACTCCGTTACCTCCCATCCAATTATCCCCTCCATTCCGCTCATTATCGTTTTTTTCTTTCGCAATCATCACCTCAAAATTCTCATGCATGTCCACCGACGTATGAGTAGAGATTTGCGTGTACCTAACACAGCACCTGTGCTTTCTCATGCGCGTGCCTGATTCACTGTCATATGCTTCACCCTCAATCCTTTCATTCCACTATCTCGTCACGTTCTCTCTAATGCTCTTCCACCAACCCAGCAGATTAGGCCGCTCCTTCGCCTAAACCGCAAGCATTCACCCGAATGCTCCTCCGGCCACCATGACCCAGTGCTGCGCCCTTCCTTGAACCAGCGCCCCTCGAGCTCTTCTTCCTCTATCTCAGCCGACCGTCACCTCCACGGCGCGGCACCTTCCAAATCACAAGCCATGGCGCTCAAGTTCCTGAGTGCTCATGCCCCTCACTCGGGCTCAAGTAGCAGTGTCAAGTACTTCGATATCCGCCTGGACAATGACTACATCGTTTTCCGGGGCAATGAAGACGAGGCTGCCAGTGCTCAACTTTCTGGATCTCTGGTTCTATGCCTCACGGAACCTATGACTATACATCACGTTGAGTTGACATTGAGTGGGATCCTGCATATGTCGTATGTTTTTGAATGGGCCCCCACGGGTGTCCCGGGAGTCCCTCACGCCCACCTGATCACTTTCCAACTAACCTGATGTGTTCAGATGGCAGACCACTTCGACTTCCTCCATGTCTGGGCGACGCACCACGTACAAGGAGAAGACCTTTTTCGAGAAGAATTGGTCGTTCCGGGACCCGGGGAAAGGAAAGACCGAAGTGTTACAACCTGACAACTATGAGTGGCCATTCCGATGCATCCTCGAAGGCTCTCTGCCCGAAAGTGTGGAAGGTATGAAAGATGCGTGGATTATCTATCGTCTCAAGGCCGAAATCAGTCGCAAGAGAGGGAGGGATATCGTCGTCCGCAAACCATTGCGCATTGTCCGCACCCTTGACTCGAACGCATTGGAACTTTCCCATGCAATGGTAGGCCTCGTTCCAAACCGCCATTGCCCCTCTGCTGACCCGCCGCCAGTCTGTTGAGAACATATGGCCGAATAAAATAGAATACTCCATCAGCATCCCCAACAAGGCTGTCGCCTTTGGATCATTCGTACAAGTTGACTTCAAATTGATATCTCTCTTGAAGGGTCTAGTTATCGGCAACGTCTCCACCCAGGTCAAGGAAGAGCAAGAATTTATTGTTGATCCCGAATGGGGGATATCCGCTTTGAACAATGGGCAGACTAAGACCGACAGGGTCATCGCATCGGACCTTTACAAGGTCGATCCAGAAAAGGATGAGCAGATTATCGACGAGGTTGCCGAAGGATACCAATTTTCTCGATATCTCGAGTTGCCCAAGTCGCTAAACCAGTGCTTGCAAGACTGTAATGTCAAAGGAATCAAGGTCCGGCATAAGGTGAAATTCAACGTTCAGTTACACAACCCCGACGGTCACATTTCCGAATTACGAGCCAACCTTCCTGTCTCCTTCTACATATCTCCCAGTCTGCCTATCAACGAAAACAACGATCTGGTCGACCAATCACCTCAGGCTGGACGGGCGGCTATTGCGAACGATTTGGCCCACGCTGCGCCGCCAGTGTACGGGAAGCACACTTTGGACGTTCTGTATTCTGATGTGGATGGTTATCGAACACCGGGAACCGCGCTTTCGACCCCAGGGACGCCGTACCTCCACAGTCGCCATGCCTCCCACGAAAATCTCGCGAGCCTTGCCGCAATGGCGAATGGAAACTACGTTTCGCCCATAGCCCTTGAAAATAGACTGCAGGATCTCCGGGTTGGAGACTCTTTCATCCAGGATCTGCGGGGCAATGAAGACGGTGAAATAGCTAACCTAACATTGCCGGTGGATGGGCGGTCCAGGAGGAATTCATCTTCCACGACGATGCCGGTAGACTATTTCGCACCACATGACGCGTCGAATGCCAGCTCACACCCTCGAGTCAGCCCCGTCGACCAAGGTGCGTCCTCAGGCGGTCCGTCCCATACACCTAGTCAACCAGGCAGTCTCATGATGTCGCGGCGAACTTCTGAAGAAGAAGAAGGAGGAGGACATCAGTCTGGTGCTCGAACGCCATTCCCTCAGTACGATCATATGGAGGATCTCGCTCGCGTTCCATCGTATACAACGGCTGTCAAAACGCCAGCTCCAAGGTCGCAGTTTGATCAGTCGATACCTCTTCCTACCTACGGGGCTGCGGTTACCCGTCCCAGTCCACCGCCGTTAGCGGAGCCCCCAACGGCTCACCTTCGAACATCACCAAGGTTGCCGGGCACTATAACAGTTACGGCGAATTCACCAGACTCACCCGTGAACGGTGTCCTAAGGGGGTCGGTCTCTCACCGAAGTGTGAGTTCAATTCAGGATGATGAGAGAAGGTTGAGGATAATGCAACTACGAGGCCGTTAGGGTCGACATCGACGGGATTCCCCATTATATCGAAATTTCAAAAGTTTACGAAGGACGACGAACAGTTTTCGAATGTTAGTTGCATGTTTTAAGGGCACTGGCTCATGAAGATTGATACCCGATTGCTTTTTGCCGGACGAGATCGTCATTTTGGAGAATCTATTTTTTTTTTCGTCACTTGAGATGCAAATTGGGACCTCTCAGATGTGAAATCACCACTTATGGAGTCTTTATGGCACATCATGGATCAGGTTTGGTATATACTGGGACGACGATCTGGTCTCGGAATCAACGGCATTGGTGTTTGCATTGATTGGCATGTTGGGAGGGACAGCATGATGTTCTTGCTACCTATATGGCACCGCAGTTCACGAACGGTTTTCCAGAACCAAACCAGCAACGAGCGCAAACCCATGGCTTTCAGGTGCAAATTGACATTGGTTTAAAACATCTATCTATCTACGGTCATTGAAAGACAAAAAGAGATATTTACATGCATGGGCAAGGAGGGAGGGTGGAATATTGTTGAACAGATATCCCGAGCATATCTTTGTTTTCTTCTTCTCCTTCTCATGAGAGGTTCTTTTTTCCCGGGTGAAGGAGGGAGGCAAGCGGGGAGAGCCGGAGGGCGCAGGAACGGACAATTTGAAATGTATCTAAGAGCAGAAAGAAAGAAACCCAACCAAACTGTCTTGGTTTTTTGAAAAGCAAAAAAAAAAAAGGGGGGGACCCCAAAAATAAAATATATTAACCCTGACCCTCCGACTTGGCCCTGAGCCAGCGTCGAGCCAGCCATGTTGCCGTCTAATGCGATGCTGACCGCACGGACAGTCGCGTCCGCGTTTTTGTCGCAAATTCGGACGTTATGGGCCGGCCATTCGTACAATGAAGCGAGGAAGGTGTTGATGTCAGCACTGGACCTGCTGATCGTCGGCCGGAGGACCAGGGGGCCGAAGATGGTATTTATACATCCCATGTATGCCGTGACATGCCCTGCCCTGCCCTGCTCTTCCATTCCCTTATTTCCTTGCTTTCCTTCCTTGCTTGGTTGCTTGGTCGCTTGGGCGAGAAAAGAAAAGGCAGTATTTTGGCCCTATGGCCCCGTGACCCTGTGGATCTGTCGTGCTTGAAGCCATCTGTCTCGGAATATATATGTACCTAGTAGGTCCCTCGTGCGTGTCGGACAGGAGATTCATGCCTCTCTCACCGGCTCAGGTGGTCGCTCGTCACAGTCTGCGAATTCTGCCGAGGGGCCAGAGAGTCCAGACCGCTCGAAAATGTCAGTCTGCTGTGCTGTGTTGTCCTGTGCTGGCTGGCGAGGTGGAATATGTGAGTGTTGTTCGTACATCCATATCGATGGTTCCGAGCTCGGGGAAGGGCGAGTCGAGGCATGGGTTCCTGGGTGGGGGGGGGGGGGGGGGGGCTCGGCGAAGAAGATGTTTTGATAAAAGAGGTATGGGGTATATGTTCATGCCCCTCTACCTCCCTTTTCTTCTCTGGATGTTCACACGTTCGTGAATCTTCACCAATAACACGCCTTCCGGGCCAACAGATCCCGAAACCCGTCCCCCATGGCGTCGATGACAATCTTCAACTGCTTCTGCCTCTTCCGCGCGTTATATCCGATTCCCACGTCGTCGTCTTCCTTCTCATTTTTCGCATTCTCTCCGTGCGGTTTCTGGTCCTCCACGCGGATCTTTACCCCCCTTGCCTCCTTGTTCTTGAACTCCACGAGCTTTGAGCCGTCCACGTCCGTCGCGCTCGCCTGCACCACCTCCGGCGAACTCGCCGCTTTCAGACTGCCTTGCTGACTCAAGGGCGTGATTGGCGTGGCGTCGAGGAGCGCTTGCCAGCGCGCCAGGAATGCGCCGGGCCCGGGGTTCGAAGAAACCTCCGGTGGAGGATTCTCTTTGATCTCGCGGGCCGTGTCGCTTTCTGATGCCATTGTGGGGAAGGATGTTGGTGCTGGTGTCGACGTCGGTGTGGCTGGGCGTTCGCTGCGATCGAACGGTGGAGCGGGGCTGGATGGGCGTGAAGAATGCCGGCTGGAGTGGGTGGAGTGGTTGGCGGAGAAGATTTTTGCGATGGCCGGGTTTTTAGACGGCGGCGACTTCAACACGTTCGCCAGGCGGGCCAGGGACTGTTCGTGCATTTTATCCAAAAATTCGGAGTGGGAGTCGAGGATGGGCAGAATGCGGGATTGTGTTTCTTGAGGGAGAGAGGAGAACAGGTCGTGCAGGGCCGGTGTCAAGTTGCCAGCTCCGCCCTTGCCGTGCTTTACCACGTCAGAATGGGTGCCACCGGGCTCTTGTCTGAAATGCGCGGCCGCATTTTTGGCCCAGTCGAGGTACCAACCGGTTAGTTCCTTGTCATTCTTAGCACACTGGTGCATGAAGACGTGGCACGACCGCTGATGTTTGCGGAGGAGCTGGACAAAATCTCCCACAGTCGGCACAATGGCCTTGTTGGACTTATCCGTTTGGACTCTTGCGAGCTTGATCAGGTCCTTGAGAAAGTACTCGAAATCGGAAAGTGTGGAGGACAGATCGATTGCTTTGTGCATTCGTCGTATGACAGGCTCGTAAGCATCGACAACTTCGCGGACAGACAGGGTGAGGTGGTCTGGGGTCGATTTACAGAGACATTGGATTAGTTGTTTGCGGTCGCGAATGGAGAGGTGGATCGAGAGGTACTCCAACGCTTGCTTGTGATGGACTTCGGTCAGTTCTGTCGACGGCGATTTGGTGTCTTTCAAAATGGCCGTCACAATTGATATGGACTGCGTTTGACTTTCCTTCCGGATGCGGTCTTGCTCTTCTTGCGGTTTGTGCGCGTAATCTTTCAAGGCGTGCAGCTGTTCTTTGCCGAGTTTGGCGCGTTCTCGCTCGAGTTTCGCACCCTTCGACTCGAGGTCCTTGATGTCCCAGTTAAGGACCGTGGAAATGATTCTGCGCAAGTGAGTCAGGCGATCACTCTGGAAGATCGGCGAGGGGGTTGGCGTACGTTTGCATGAGATTCGTGCCCTCATCTTGAGACTGGGTCAAGCCTATCCAATTGGTCACACTGGTAACACTCATCTTGGCCAGACCAACTTTGACCATGGCATTTATCATGGTCGCGACATTTCCGATCTTCAGTGTTTGTCTGAGAACCATGTAGGGCACCAGTTTATTGGCATTGTCAACTAGCTTCAGCAAATACTGGCCCTTGGGTGACAAGATAAGCGTGTAATGCATAAGGGAGGCAATACTGCGCCACTGATGAGTATATGAAAAGCAGGCAGGACGTGGGACTTGGAAAGAAAGGCTGACCAAACGGGACTCACTTGACAAGTACAAACTCGTGTACGGCTTTTGTCAGTTGAGGGTGGTCTTCGAGCTTGTCCGTCTCGGCGGTTCTCTGGACCATGTCGTCGAGGATATTGCCATAGACACAATCATTGAGGAAGTCCCGAAAGGCCCGTCCCAGATCATCGGCGTTGGTGACGTCGTAGTTTGGATCGCGGTCCTTGATCTCTGGGAAGCCGGCGAATGTGCCTCTGACGGGATATTCGATCAGGGCTGATATTGCCGTGGCGAGGGTCTTGCGGCTGCCGATGACGCCCTTGTCGTAGCTCTCGCTCAAGTTGGCCCTCTCCAGACCCTCGATGATCTCCTGACACTGCACGGTCCACCATTTCTCCGGGAGGTTGTTCAAGCCGGGCAGGTTTAGCAGGAACTTTGAGACCAGAGCCTGCAGGGCGGGTGAACTGGATGGGCTGTCTTGTTGGGCGGTAAAAGGGGGTCCGTACTTTGCCAGACTGCCTGGCCTCCGAAACTCGCGAATCTGGGCGTAGGTGTCGTAATGGGTCAGAATGTCGAATAGGGCAGCGGTCTGGGAAGGGGACAGAACGGCAGACATGTTGCCGGAGGGCTAGAATGAATGGCGGTGCCAGTGTGAGAGTCTCTCCCAGGCAAACCTCATTAGTATCGAGAACATCGAGAACAAGAGCGCTGCTCATATGGCATCATATGGGACAACATGGGACAAGAATTCCTGCAAGATCGACGAGTGACGTCCTATCGAGATCTTAAAAAAAAATGGGGTTGAATCTCCGCGCACAACTTAGCCAATCGCCACGAGGCTGAACGAGGCTGAACGAGGCTGAACGAGGCTGAACGAGGCTGATCAGGACCACATACATACAGACTCGGTAATATATGTATAGATATAGATATATAGATATACACATACGCTCAGTAGCGGTATAGGCATCGACGTCGTTTCTCATCAAACAGACAAACAATATACTTGGTCCTCTGTCCATTCAAGGTCAGTTGTTCTGGTGTCCGCATTCTCAGTATCGTCGAGCTTTTGATCAGTCGTAAACGCTGGGATCGAGAACTCCCTCCTCTTTGGTCAACCCTTCTATTTCAACTCTTCTCCGCCACCAAACCTCAACAGCCGACTCTCCCTCTTTCCCTCCATTCCTGAGCAAAGATCTCTACTCGGTCCAATGAATATCTCTCTCCCTGCCCCCAATTGCCGAACATCGCAGGTCCATCCTCTTTTCCTTAGCCATTCGCCCTCTTCTCCTTCCCACAGATGTCTTCTCACCTCATCCACGGAGATGCGTCTCACCCGCAATTTCTTCACGCTGATCCCACGACTGTCTTTAGGTTCGTCGTGGGCACGAATCCAGCATCTAGCCATCAACGCGCGGGCGATTTCTGCTCCGCCGTACATCCCGGCCATGATGTTGCCGCCCAGATACCAAGGGTTTTGCGCATAGTCGAAAGAGTGGAGGAGCAAGGTCAAAGGAAGGGCGCCGGCCAGACGGACGAGATGGTTTTGGATGTAGGGCTGGAGATCAGACAGTGGGAGGCCGTGCGGCGAGTAAATGATTGAGATGGCTTTGGGGCGGGCGGGAGTGATGCGTGCGAGGTGTGGCATGGAGGAGACGCTGGACAAGGACTTCTGATGGGAGGTCACGGAAGATCTGTGCCGGTGATGGAAGAAAGTGCTGGTTGGGGATGTCGCCGGAGGATTTGGGGCCGCGCTTGGTGAAGCTGCCACCGCCGTTGGAGCAGGCGAAGCTGGAGGTGTCGGGAGGTCGTTGACAAACGTGAAGGGTGCAGGATCGAGTTCAAACTGGAAAGGACTGTCCAAGAGTGTTGGGTGGTCGGGAATGGTCAACACTCTTTGCACGACGTCGCCCGCCCCGGCTTCGGGCTCTGGGTGGATTCGAATGGAAGGATGGTCAGCCGCCAGGAGGAATTCCGATGAAGCAGTGTTTGACGAGCGAGACAGCCGCGGTCGATGTCCTTTGAAATGCGCCGTGTGGGGGCGCTGTCCGGACTCGCGAGCATGGGCAGGAAGATCAAGAGACAGGGGTCGATCAACCAGAGGAGTCAGAGGTGCTGGAGGGCTGGACGGCGGCATAGTTATCGGACTGAGTGGCATATGGAAGTATCTGGTGGCTTTTGGTAGATCCACGGTTGCAATGGGGGCAATACTCCTCGTGCGAGTGGGCGGTTGATACGTGATGCCGATGGCGTTGTGCACGCCGGTCCTGTAGCGCTTGGTCGGGATGAAGGCGATGTTGAGCTCTCCCGGAAACCCCTGTGGTGAAAGGGCAGCCATCGGGAGTCGCAACGAGCGCCCGAACTTGACCTTGGGGTCATATTTGAGCAGCGCATGGACCCTCGTGGGATCAAAATGGTTCCAGCTCTTGATGGTCTTTGCCGCGCCCGGTTCCGCCGCGACAATAGTCTTCCCGTCCGGAGGCAGTTGGAGGAGCGTCTCTTTGTGGCGGTCAGGCTTGTTTTGCGACACGATGAGCACGTCGGGTTCGTCGAGCTCGGAGAGATGCTCGATGGCGCGGGCGATGTTGTGCTCGGTTGTTGCAACCCGGGGCGCGGGAATGACGGAGGGCTCTTTGATCCATGGATCTATGAGCACCGAAAAGGCACCACCTGCGGCAGTGAGATCTGCAGGCAGCGGATGCGCCTTGGGGGAGAAGACGAGGAGAAAGGCCGTATCAGCATTGAGGTGTTTGACAGTTACAGACATGAAGAGTGCCGTCCAGACGCATCAGGGTGAATGCACAGGTTGAAGCACAGAGTACGGAGGAGGTGGAGCTGAGATACAAAGGACATGACCGTCCAACCCCATGATTGTAAAGAACTGCAACCAGGATCGAAGGCGGGGGGGGTGTGTCCAAGCCTCGTGTTGACCGCAACTTCAAGAAACGGGGATTGTGGCCTTTGTACTGGGTACCCAGGGAAGCGAAATTTGATGGCTTGGTGATTGCGCCAGAAGCAGCCTGGTCATCGTCGATCACGAACGGGGGGGTTTGCGTGAGAATCCAGCCACCCTCAGCCTTATCTATACTCCTCATAGCTAAGCTCGGTCCCCTCTGTACGAGCGACGCGGTCCCCCCCCTTTGGGTGACCGAGGTCCGTGAAGCTTGTTATAGTTTGTTCGGAAACAGTGGCGCTGTCCGCCCCCCCCGGAACAAATTCAACATTTCTTCGCCCATCCAGATCTTCCTTGACGTCGCTATCCCCTTTTCCAAATCCGCCACCCGCCCACCTTGAACGAGCATCCCTTTGCCGTTGGCCTCCATGCCCAGGCTCATCAAGTACACCACGCAATTGGCTACCTCTTGCGGATCGTTGATGGGAACGCCCACTCCTCTCATTCTTTGGGCCCATGCAGCCAGAGACTCTTCGGGTTTGCGGCCTGAAATGATATCCGTCAAAGTGATGCCCGGCGCCACCACGGACACCGCGATCCCAAGTGTTGCTGTGTCGTTCTTCAATGCCCTCATCAGGCCCACAATACCTGTGGTGACATATCAGCGATGCGGCAAGCCCAAAACCAATGACGGGTACTGACCATGTTTCGCGGCACTGTACAGCGGCGCCCCAGCACTGGCCAGATAACCCGCCAGACTCGCGGTCATGACAATGCTCCCTCCTCTCTTCTGGTCGGGCCCCTTCTTCCTCATGTAGTAGATGGCCAACTTCGCCGTGTCATTGGCGGCGTGCATGTCAATGTCGATGACCCTCCTGTCAGGCTCCTTGAGCAATCCATCTGCATCCAGCTCGTCCTTGAAGAATTGGTCCTTGTACTCGGCAATTCCCGCATTGACAAAGACACAGTCAATGGAACCGAACTTCTTGAATCCGGCCTCAAACGCGGCTCTTTGCTGTTTCCATGATGTAATGTCGCATTGTTGGTACAGGAAGCGAGGTGATGAAGTCAAGGTCTTTGGAGCAGCGGGATGAGGTCGTGCTCTGTCGACGACGATAACGTTGTTGCCAAGCTCGTGAAGGAGAATTACTGTTTGCAGTCCAATTCCTGAGGAGCCGCCCGTCACCAAGGCAGTAACGCCTTTGGGCCCTGTCAGTTGCTCGCGCGACACCGTGAAAGCTTCTGTCGCCATCTTCAGACGTCTCCGTGGTGTTCGCGATCAATCTGAGGCAACAAGCAACTCAAATTTCCTCCAGCCAGAAATCTCTTGACCGAAGACTTGTGCACTGCCCTTCTGTCTTCCCCGCATCTGCGAATCTCGGGCTCGGAGTTGGGACGCGTTTGTTGCTTTGCCTCGGGTATATGTAGCCGGATCGTATGCGGAATTCAGTTCCAATCTCAGTGTCCAACCTGACGCCTTGCCAATATCTTTTGATACTGCTTGTCATCAGACAAGAAGCCACCACTCGGTCTCATCTTGGTATGACTTGTCGCTGTACTGTGATTGAGATGTGGTGTGCTGCTTCAAGGCATCGAGGTTCGGCCAAGCTAGAGCCTTCAGAGAACTGCCGCGTTCGGGTGATACGGCGTTAAAGCCAACACCGCCATGGCGATGGCCAAGTTGCTACGCTATTGACATCAATGGAAAGACTGAGGTGAGGATGAGGAGCCTTTGCCGGGATCACGTGGACGTAGGCTTGGAGGACAGTGCGAGACAGGTACCGAGTACGAGGTACCTACCACTGAGTAGGCAGGAGCTCGAATTGCTCCTGGCTTGCCAGTACCAGCTTTGCACCTCCCGCTTGCTGTCTTGTCTGTTTTGCCTGTTTCATCTTCTTTCGCTTCACCAGGGTCATGCCTCTATGCCGAACCGGAGCTATTGCTTACTTCCTAAGTTCATATTGAAAGCAAGCTTTTAGTTGTCGATTTTGGTTGACTGCTCCAGGACATGATCGAGATGAATGCGACTGGCAACCCAATCGACAAAACCGCCAACCTGGTGGACCGAACTGGCCACTCGATTGGCAAGACCTCTACTGCTGAAGACACGGAATAATTGGCCATCCCACAAGACATCGGGATACTATGCCACCGCTAAGGGTCAGCACTAAAGCCAGATGTGCCATTACGGAGAGCCGACCAAGTATTCCCATTCTTCTTCCTTGAGACCGCCCCAACTGCTACTTTTCGAGCCAAATGTAAGGTTTCTTCCTGCAGAGTACAGATCCGACTCGACAGGATCGGATTTGTGTCCACCCAGGGGTAATATGTCGTCAAGGTTCAGGTGCGCCCCTTATTGCCCACATTGGTCACTAGGGAGGCGGACTGATACAAGACTTCTACCATGTTGAATGCTTTAAGAAGGCCGCCGATCTATCTCGAGCCGAATTTCTCGATCGCATTCAGCCACTTACTTAGCAGATCGCGAGTGGAAGGAGCTTACCACTACGAACATCGTAGATCGCCGTAAGTTTCTCGACACTGGAGCGGAAGGACTCGTTCTGGAATGGAGGTTTCAGCAAGGCAGGTGGATTGACAAGACTGCCAGGAAGTCACAAGAGGAAATCGACCCAATATTCGACGACATGTATTACAATGCGGGATCTGTACCTTTCAGCCCTCAAGGAGGCCCACGACACCGCTTGCTGAGGAAAGAAATGCCCCCGGTGGAGAGTGACGGTCCTGATGATACCAATGAACGGAGTATGTTCGAGGAGCATCTTCCCAACGATGCGGCTGAGGAGAAGTTGAACGATAGAGATCATCTGAGCAAGATGCTGGAAATGTGGTGCACCGACAAGGTAATGCCTCTTCCAAACTTTCCCCCTGCCTTCTTACCGTCTTCGTCCCCCGAGCAACCGGTATTGCCATAAACACTTTGAGAATATGACCACTTCTATCATAGTTCATTGCCCAGCTCCATGAAAAGTCCGCCACCAGTGACCAGGAAAAATCCAAGAAAAGATTGTCTACCATAAGACGATAGGGTGGAGCAAGATTTTCGGGGTCGCTAACGCACAATTATGCCTGAGTGTTTCGTTGAATCCCGTATCGATCACAACCTTTGTGCCTGGATGAGACTACTCGAGATTCGTCCTATTTGCAACTACTAGGGAGTTCTCACACACCTGCTAGCTTCAACAATAAATCACCTCAGAAATCATTATGAGGTAACCTTTCAGTACCGCCATGACCTATCAGCAGTATCAAGCTCGTCGCCTGTTCTACATGCCACCAAGAGCAGCGTCACGCGGCACCATTCATAAACTCAGGACATGTTTGGAATTCTTGATATCCTGAAAGCCACAGGCTCTACTCTCTTTTAGGATACAGCAAGTCCCTGTGAATCGTGATATTATCCCATGTCAGGGTAGAACCTCGGTGAGAGTTAAATGAATGCTAGAACATCAACCTCTGGTGAGTCCTGGTAATGTGATAGACGTAGGTCCTTGTTGGAAATGGTGCTCAGTAAAGTCCCGTTAAAAGGATTGTGAGGTAGAGCAAGGCAGAGACGACCTAGTCACTAGTGGAGAGTAATCTGTTCCCCGGCAGTGACGCCACCGAGCGAAAGAGGTGATGATTGAGTCCGGAAAGGAATAATACGCGCACAGACGCTTCTGCTACACACGAAGGACCTTGGCGGAGTGACGACTTTTCGAGCGGTATTTAGGCGTCGTGGGGGTTTCTCTTCGTCCATTCAACCGGCCAGTCATGTGGATAACTGGCATCATTGGCGGGAGACATTCGAAACAGAGTCTCGCTGCAACGCAGTAATTTCGTATGGGATTTCGACGATGGGAGTGCTCCGTGCTGTTATGTGGGTATGTAGTGAGATGCCCTCGGTCTCTCGCTTCTTTCGAGCCTCGCTGACCGATCACGACTTCCGCCTTGACATCCATTCCGCCTCCATGATCTCTAAATGGCCGGCACTTTGGCAACAAGATATCCCGTATACAGCAGTTCTATTGACACGAAATCCATGCCGTGTTAGTAATGCTGCGTCAAAGGTCGCGCGAAAACGAGTGGTGGGAATGGCCTATGGCGGGGTTTAGTCATTATAGTGAGCAGACGAGGCTTCCTTTTCAGGGGTTTCGAAACCTTCCGTGTTGGGAAAAGCCCCAGCCCAGCCCATTGCCTTGGCCTGGGTTCCACCGGCGAGGAGTTAATAGGCGACTTAAACGACGAAGGTCGAAACGGGCAAGTCTGCGTATGGACGCAACCAACCTCGCGCTGGCATGCGTTTTCCTTGGTTCTGCAAGGTACCGACCGGGACTACAACAGCTTCTTGATGACGCTTTGGCATGCCTTTTTCGTGTTCGTGACTTGCCTCTTTCGATCCCGGCGATGATGCTAATTACGGTGAGTATGTTCATTGACGGCTGGTTCGTGACTGCGGTACGTTCTTGTACTCGGACACTGAGATAATATATATTGGTGGGTGCCCGCATCTCAAGAAGACAATTAAATATCAGCAGTCGACCCCCGAAGCGCGGTGTGGGACTATCTGAAGCTTGTCCGCCCGGATAATAAGAAGTATCTTGCAAGGCGCTTACTTGTTCATTCACCATGGCCAAAGGCATGCATTCGAACTTCTCCCAGCTCCTCCTTTTTCTCTTCTCCTTCCTTACCCTCAGTCACCAGACCCCAGCAGGTGGGCTGCCGTACACCGTGGGCAATGTGACTCTCCCCAACGGGATCCAGATGTTCTACCGTGAAGCCGGCCCTATCAACGGCACGACGCTGTTGCTCCTGCACGGCTTCCCCTCATCATCGCACCAGTTCCGAAACTTCATCCCCATCCTGGCGGCACACGGGTACCATGTCGTCGCTCCGGATTACCCGGGCTTCGGCTTCACTGTGGTGCCGGAGGCGTTGAACTACACGTATAGCTTCGCGGCGCTGACGCAGAGCGTGGCAGCGTTCCTCGACGCGAAGAACATCACCGCCTTCGTGCCCTACATGCACGACTACGGCGGGCCGATCGGGTTCCGGCTCGCGCTGCAACGGCCGCAGTCGATCTTGGCTTTCATTTCGCAGAACGCCAACGCCTATATTGAAGGGTTCGGCGCGACCTTCTGGCCGCCCATCTTCGCGCTCTGGAACGCCACCACGCCCGCACAGTTCCAGGCCGCTGCTGCCCCAATCAACGACACGGCGCTAACGCTCGCGGGGATCAAGAGCCAGTACACGACTGGCAGCGCGCGTCCGGAGCTCATCGAGCCTGAGTCGTACTGGCTCGACTATGCGCTGATCGACGAGCAGGCGGGAAACCGCGACGTCCAGATCGCCCTGCTGACAGACTACCGCTCCAACGTGCCCCTGTACCCGGCATTTCAGGCGTACTTCCGCCGCGCCCAGCCCAATCTGCTGGCCGCCTGGGGCAAGAACGACATCATCTTCGTCCCGCCCGGCGCCGAGGCCTTCAAGCGAGACATCCCCAACGCAGAGGTCGTCCTCCTCGACGCCGGCCACTTCCTTCTCGAGACAAATCTGGCGCAGATGGCGGGCCTTGTGCTGGATTTCCTGAAAATTGTCCCTTTAGCTTCCCATGTTCCCGGAGGAATCTAACGATTGAGAAAAAGCCAGGGCTGCTGGCGACATGTGGGATCGGCTAGTCGTCGGCATATCCGTAACTAGCATCAAAAAGGGGCTTGGTGCTCTGTCGCCGCTATGGATTTGAAATGATGTAAATACAGTAATGACAAATGGACAACCCATCGATCGAGTCAAACCTGGGTCAATGTCTGCGCATCACTCCTCTGAGTAATGAGACTCTTGTTCTCGGACGGTTCCGTGACACGTTAAAGCCCAGTAGCTTGTTTGCGTCATTGTTGTTGTCGACGACGACTTCATGCAAACGGTTGGGAATTCCGGAAAATAGAGGCCGAGCTGAGAGCATCAGCTTCACGGAGGGCCGGAAAAGGAAGACCTTGGCATCTCATGGAGGAAATCTGTCTGGAGCACAGCCGTCCGGCTGACGCGCATCGGGTGCCTCTTATCGTCCTGATTCTGACACTTGGCCAGCCAGGCAAAGGGGACAGGCTGCTTCTGGCATCTATGCTGCGTGCACAGGGGGATCAAGCCCAATTGCTTCCTCCCAGACCGCTTTTGCTGGTGGGTCGCAGAACTCTTCCATCCACAGGTGTCTTTTCAGGACCGTTTGCATTTCGGTCCATCGGCCTGCGCCAAGCAGGACGGCATACTGCTTGACAGCTAAGTGATACCATGTCCGATGCTTCTCGGTTTTGGCAGCTGCAATGGCTCCCAACATGGCGGCCCACAGCAGAATCTCTGTGTGACTCGCCCTCTCCAGGTGTACCGGCAAGCTCTCGAGGGTCTTCCGCAGCATCCCTGCTAGCCGTGGTCTGATCTCTGTTGCGGGCGGAAGCGGGAAGATGACCATGTCGCTAAATATCATTGCGGCAAGGCGGCAGGTTTCATAGATTCCATGGTCCAGATCTGAGCTGGATTCTTGATGGGGCAGCGAGAGCAGACGATGCTGGACCCTGTTTCTGGTTCGTATGATGTTGGTGAAAAATGCCGGATTGGTTCCTCCCTGACGAAGATGCGTTAGGGCTTTACAGATTGTAGACATGGCGCACAATATGGAGAGCAATTGCTTGAACACTGTTCGATTTCGCAGTGAAGGGAAGATTTCGCGGGACGAAAACTGGCAGTCCGGCAGCAGTAAGAGTGGGGTGGGACATGCGAACCATTCCCGGAATTCTGGTTTGGTCAGAGTCGAACTTGCACCATAGACTTCGCCACTGTATTGCTCAGATTAGTCGGCGCGCCTCTACCAGTCCGGAAGGCATACGATGCAAGAGGGGGTGAAGCAGGGTACCCAACTTACAGCGCAATCATATCAGCGATGCCGTACAGTTGAATGTTTTTCAACCCTCCTCGACGCGCCACCAGGATGCGGAGTGCGCCCATGTGCAACTCATCAAATCTCAGGCTGCCATAAAAGTCCAGATCCTGTGCATTAGCGAGCGGAGACACCGGATACTCTGGTGGCTCCTTGTCGCAACTAGTCGCAGCTGGACCATGTGCTGCGAGGATGAGAATAGACACCAGAAGCGCGTCTGAGATTTCGACATCTACCTTCTGCAATGCCTCATTGACTAGGCTTATTGCTTTCGTCTTGTACGAGAATAACAGATTGTAGGCGGTTTTTGATATCCTGCTCCAGCCATGCAGATAAGCATGGTGTAGACCCGCTGCGAAGACGAAAGAGTAGAAAGCGACGGGAAAGTCCATAGCACAGCCTAACCAGGCTCGCCTGACGGGATGTGAAGCAGCATATCCGAAGGGACAAACCCCAGGCCAGGTGTGATTGATAGCTAAACGACTCGAATCAGTCCAGGTTCGAGAGTTGGCCACGCAGCAATGGTACCTCTCGTTTGCAACAGCAGGGGGAGAGGTGGAATCACAAGGGAATGCCGTCAAGGGCGAGATTGACTTACCGTGATCTAGAATCTCATGCACGTATAGCGAGATTGTATCGTGCGGATATATGTTGAATGGATCAAGTCGTCCTTGCCCAAGCACCATACCCAAGGCTTTGGGGTTCAAAATCTCGACTTCCGAGACCTGCCGCTCTTTCTGTTCAGGGCTGCTTCGTTCTGATGAGCTCGACTCCTCTGGTGGTGAGCTGGAATCTGACAACGCCTGATAGCGCTTGGCATGGGCATTCCTGGCTAGAAGGCTCTGGCGCGCTGCCAGATACAATTTTGTGCGTTCTCTTCGCGCCGCGCGATGATGATTCTTCAAGGCGTGTGAAATCTGGTTACCACGAGAGACGGAAGCCTGCTTCCCCTTTAGTTTCATTTCCACGAAAACGTAATTGGCACAGCCATTCGAGGCCATTGCTAAATGTGCGCATTCCTTCTGAGCAAGGAGAGCACGCGCAGCCAGAAGAGGTCAGGGGTGTTGTGCTCGTGCCGGTTTGCGTTGCGTAGAGTGTTTGAACTCGTGGATGACGACTGCTTTGATGGACCATGCACTACATATACTCAGCGCACCAGGAAGCGCATGTCTCGGCTTCAAGCGCGCGAAATCATGTCCAGTCTCTTGAAAATCGGAGAAGCTGTCCCGGCGAAATTCGAGCGGCGTCCAGATGCAACTGCCAATGAGGCGCTTGGGGTCGGTTTTCATTCATCGCCATATTAGCGAGCCTGTGTGCTTACGTGGCATAAATTGTGGTGTCTGCAATTCGAGGGCGAAGTCGGTCGAGAAGAAATAATACGCCAAGCGATGCCACCAAATGCGGCATCACGTAAGCCCGCAGCCTGTAGAACCTCGCCGGAACCTGGCTCGCTGCCTCGCCCGCTGCATGACCGCCTTATTTAATTACCTAGTCAGGCTACGGAGCGTCTCCCAGCGGTGCCCAAAAGTGAGCATCGGGTCTATGGTCCGGCTTCGTATTATGGGGATTCGCTACGACCGGAGCAGAAGGACTCGAGCCTCACGTGTCGGGGGCGCTTGCTTTGGTCATCACTGTGGGCAAGGCTCCGTAAATGATAACAGGTTGAAGCGTTGCTCTTGTAACACGGCAGGACCACGCAATGGAGGGATGGGGACCGCCTTGAATCGGTGTTCGGTTCAAAGGATTCGAGTCGCAAATACACGCCAAGTTCGAGGTACCGAGTACGGAGGATAATGACCGCCAGTCCAGTATAAGAACCATCAACTCTTAATCTCGGTTCGACCGCCGAAAATAACACGCAAGGAAGTAAGGGCCATATCCAGGTTATAATCATATACCGAGTACGGGGTACAGCACCCAACTATCCCCGGGGGAGACAGATATCTGGAGTTGACTTCCAAGGATCACACGTGGTCCGTCGCACAACCCGCATGTCCCAAGCCGATCTATCAGTTCAGCCGCATATGTCCCCAAACCTGGCTCTTCACCCGAATCGGCTGGTCAACAGTCCGGGACCAATGTCGGAGAGTTCGAGCTTGAAGCTGCTCTCGCCATCACTTCGCCCCGAGATCTTCTCACAGAAGTAAGCTACGGCGAAAGGAGTGCCAATCGCCTGAATAGTCCACCTATAGATAAATCGGTGCGTGCCGTGGGCGCTGTTCTGGAACGATCGTGATTCCGGGTGGAAATAGCGACGGGTTGGAACTTTCAAAGGCGCAGAAGGAGGCTTGTTACGGAGAAGGCGAGTGCAGGCACGGTTCATGTTGCCGAAGACGGCGACGCTATCAGAAGAGGGTGCTGGAGGAGGCTCTCGAGCCGCAGCTGCGTCCAAGTCATGCAGATTAGCTGGTGTCGTTATATCTTGCTGACTCAAGTCTGGTGCTCTCGCGGCAAGTTTCAATACCCCTCACTGTCCTCACTTGGCTCCCAGCGGAGTGGGGAACTCAAAGTCAATACCTAAGCGTATCCGGGAGCCCCATCTGGCGGCTGGCAGCCTTGGGAACAAGGCTCTGCGACAAGGAGCTCAAGACCGACATCAGATCCGACGTATATTGCTCCCACTTCAAGTCCTGAGCCAGGCTCATACTGAGCTCAAAGACAGCCACTGAAACTGCAGAGGGATGATTTTCCGCATGAATCATGACCAATTGCTGGAGTCCGTGGACAGGGCGAATCAGGATACGACCAAGCATTTCCATTATGAGCCTCGGAGGTTCGAAGTGGCAGGAACATGTCACATTTTTGAGTCTTCTTCGAGGTGAGCAGTGATTTTTGATAGCCCAAGAACGGAGCCCGATACAGCCCCAGACGGGTTAGACTTCCAGGCCGGATGGTTGGATGCCTTGTCTCCCATTCTTGTCAAGTGGGTACGGTCACTCAACGATCAATCAGTCCAAAGCGCCATCATCTCTGGCTGGCAAACAACTATTGACATTTTCCTCGCTGTTCTTTCGCTTTGCTCACGTCACTATTATAAAAAAAAAAAAGTCGTTTAGGGCTCAGTTATACGGGATTGGTTTTGACAAATGCAACGCATCTTAGCTGCACTACGCCCTTTGCGTTGATCAAATTCCCATCCCAGAGGGGACGGACAACGGTCTTCGGCTTTGCCGTCCTCATTCCTAAGCCTCGAGTATGAATGACCGCGGAAGCTATCAGTCTGGGATGGATGGCGGCTCCTCTACTTGCGGGTACCGAGTAAGTCGTGCAAGGATCGAGACCCATATTTGAAAATCTTCGGCTCAACAACGTTGAATTGACGACTCCCTCATCTCCTTAACGACACAGATCCTGAACAAGCTCAACTCTTCTCTTGATCCCCCTATCCATCGCATCCAAATATGTCGACCAAGAATATGTCGACAAAGACTATCCCTGCACCTCTGGACGGCAAAGTCGCCCTAGTGACGGGAGGATCACGCGGCATAGGACGTGGCATCGCGATCCATTTCGTCGTCAAGGGGATTTCGAAGATCGCCATCACCTACAACGGGAACGCCGCCGCGGCGGAAGAAACGCTAGCGGAAATCCGCAAAGTCAACCCCAACACAACAGCCAGGGCGATACGGGCCGACGTGCTGTCCCCGACCTTTGCCTCCGACCTGGTGCCCTGGGTGCTGCAGGATCTCTCGACCGCACGCATCGACGTGGTCGTGTGCAATGCGGCATATCTCAACCCCAGCATCGTGGCGCCGATCGCCAGCACGACCAAGGAACTCTTCGACAACCTGATGACCGGCAACGCGTGGGCGCCCGTGCAGCTCTTCCTTTCCGCCCTTCCGTACATTCCCCGAGGCGGCCGCGTGATCATGATCGGCAGCTCTGCGTCCAGGACGCCCAACGCGGACCCAGCGGTGTGCTACGGCGCGTCCAAGGCCGCATTGGACAGCTTCACGCGCAGTCTCGCCCTGATCTTCTCCGCCCCCCACGGCATCACCGTAAACTCTGTGTCGGCGGGCCCCGTCATGACGGACCTGCTGAAGGTGCCCCTCGAGCAGGGCTTGCTTCCGGACGACTTCATCGCGGGCCTGGCGAGCAGGAACACGGCAGAGAAGAGGATGGGCGAGGTCGACGATATCGCGGGCATTGTGGCCTTTCTTGCCAGCGATGAGAGCAGGTGGATCAACGGGAACAATGTCCCTGCAAACGGAGGCGCTCTCCTCGAGGCGCAGGGGTAGGGCAGTGCTGGGGAGAGATATAAACTACTACTGTCAGGGCTAAAGAGCCGATAGGGTAGAGAGGGTCAAATAGGCCTTTTTTTTTTTCTATTTAGCAGGCGACCCCGCCATCTGCAGAGAATGTAGCTCCCGTGGTGTAGCTCGAGTCATCGCTCAGGACAAAACAGATCGTCTTTGCCATGTCTTGTGCCGTACCCAATCGTTGAAGAGGCAACGTCTTGTACGTGTTTGTGACTGGTCGCTCCGCCGTGCCCCCATCAGATAGCAGCCTATCCAGCATTGGAGTCTCTATAGGGCCACTTTTGAAAAAGACAACAGTCAGCCCACGGAGCTGAACCTGGTAGGAACGTACTTGAGCAAGAAAGGGGGAAATCACTTACGGAGCAAGAGCGTTGACTCTGATTCCGCGCTCGCCAACTTCCTTGGCTGCTGTTCTCGTCAGGCCAACGACTCCGTGCTTGCTGGTTGAGTAGGCGGCAATGCCAGGACGGCCCATGACGCCGGCCAAACTCGCCACATTGAGGATCGAAGCCCCGCGCTCCATGGTCCGGAGTTCGGCGCGAAGGCAGTAAAAGAGGCCGGTCAGGTTGATCTTCATGATGAAGTCCCAGTGATCGTTTGTAATGTCGACGATGTTCGCAAAGACCTTGCCGCCCGGCTTTGTCTCGACGCCCGCGATATTTGCCGCACCGTCCAATTTGCCAAACTCCTTGACCGTGTCGGCGATCCAGGCATCGACTTGGGCCGAGTCTGAGACGTCGACGCGTCTGCCCGTTACTTTGGTCCCCTTAGCCTTGATCTCATCGACAACCTTTTTCAACGCGTCCTCGTTGATGTCGCACAACGACAGTGAGGCTCCTCTAGCGGCGCATTCTAGTGCCGTGGCCGCGCCGATCCCCGATGCTGCTCCGGTGATTGCAATGACTTTACCTTGGAGCTGAGCCATTGTCGCTGAGCTTTGAAATTGTCAAAACTTGCGGGGAGGAAAGTGTTCGGTGTGAAAAATCAACCACTTCCTTGGATGGACGTTTGTACATATATAGGCCCCTTTTTGACTTCTCGTGCTGGAGTTGATGAGGGGTTCCGGTCCGAGGTCCATCAGACCAGCGGAGATGTATGTTTCTCCGCATCATCATCAGGCTGAGGTTCAGCCTTGCTGCAGCCAGATATAAAAAAGAACCCAACCTATCTGGGCACAAGGATACGGAGAGGGTGAATTCTGGGCATGGGCACGTCATTGAAGCCTCGGACATTGAGGCGTAGCCGAGAGGCTTGACGCTTCATGCACCTACCCCGCTGCCAACCCATACCCAGCATCCGTGGGGGGGTTATTCCGCCGGAAACGTAGACCTAGGGCAGAAGGGATCTTCATCTGAAACGGCCTGCGACGAAAGAGCGACACATGATTCGACCTAGTAGCGCATGAACGGCCCTTGGCTCTGGTTTGCAGAAGGACAAGGGCTGGTGTAAACTTTGGTGGTGGGACGCGGAGGGCTCGACATGTCTAGCTGTGGGGGGCGGGATGAAGATTGTGGGGAAGCAGCTTGCACGGAGTAGCCAGAGTAGCCAATAAATACAAGACATAGGGGTGATGCAAGAGAGGAATTACCCCCAGCCTTAGAACCATCGCAGATCCTCCATTCTGGTTCGTTGAAAGGGCTGCTCTGAGGGTGAGAGACAAAGTGTATATCAAGTCCAGGATTCCCTGGTTCATCCGTCTCCCAGGTGAGAGCGGTTTCGAAAGTCCAAGGGCATCACTGTGGTTGAGGAGAGAACCCTCCTCCATTCAGAAGTTAACCACCGTCCTCTTGTGATACGATCCAACTTCACCGATATTTTGCTGTTTCGCGGCTTGAATCGCCTCCTCCCATCCCATCCTTGTCCACCTCACTCTTAGCATGGCGTTGGGAATCCTCCTCCCTGCCGTCGGCGTGCTGCTCGTCGCCTTTCTACTATATGCGTTTCTCTTCGTGGGACGGCGCGAAAAAGGTCTCCCCCCCGGTATGTGGAACAAGAATCTGCTGCGATCCCAACATATTGCCAATTGTGTACTCATGGATCCGGCATCCGTCAACAGGCCCGCCCACAGCACCCGTGATTGGAAACATCCATCAGATCCCAACCAAAGGGTCTTACTTAACGTTCACAGAGTGGTCCAAGGTACACACCGCTTGCGGTTGATCCCCATCCAAGACTGCTGATCTAACACCATCAAACAGAAATATGGCGGCATCTTCTCCCTCAAGCTCGGCCCTGGAACCGCCATAGTTCTCACTTCTCGCCACCTCGTCAAACAACTGATCGACAAGAAGTCGAACATCTATAGCGATCGCCCCCACAGCTACGTCTCCCACAATCTGATCACGGGGGGGGACCACGTCCTCATTGCGCACTATGGAAAAATCTGGCAACGGTACAGAAAAGTCATTCACCAGCACTTTATGGAATCCATTGTCATGAAGGACCATTTGCCCTTGCAGCAAGCCGAGGCAAGTCAACTTTTGAAAGATTTCCTCGAGCGACCGGATCAGCACATGGACCACCCAAAGCGATACACCAACAGCATTGCATGCGCCACCATCTGGGGCGTAAGGTCTCCGACAGTGGACACCCCTCACATGAAACGCCTCTACGACCTGATGGAGAATTGGTCTGTAGTCATGGAACCGGGCAACACCCCTCCTGTCGACATCTTCCCCTTCCTCCACTACGTTCCCGAATGGCTGTTTGGGAATTGGCGTTCACGAGCCAAAGACGTCGGCAAGGCGATGAATGACCTATACAACGACATGTTGACCGGTCTCGAGAAGCGCAGGGAAGCAGTGGGCAGCAAGTACTCATTCATGGACCGGGTCCTCGATCAAAAAGAGAAGCTCGAATTGACTCGGCACCAACTCTATTTCTTGGGCGGCACAATGATGGAAGGAGCGAGTGATACCTCTTCGAGCATCGTTATCGCGGCCATACAGGCCTTCACCAAGTGGCCCGAGGTCATGAGGAAAGCACAGCAAGAAATCGACAGTGTAATGGGCGAGGACCGGTCTCCCGTATGGGCCGACTATGCGCAGTTGCCATACGTGGCTGCAACGGTGAAGGAAACGATGAGGTGGAGGTGAGATGTCCCCAAACCCTAGAGTGCCGTTGCAACCGTCTTCCAAGGCTCCGTTCCCCGCGTTGCTGCTTGACGCTGATGATAAATCCAGACCGGTGGTCCCATTGGCATTCCCACATGCTGTTTATGAAGGTGGGTGAATCTCGCAAACACGACATCATTGCCGGTTCCTGACCAGTTTGATGCTGTAGACGACTGGATTGATGGGTACAAAATTCCCAAGGGCTCCGTCATCTTCATCAACGCATGGGGCATGCACCACGACGAGAAGAGATTCCCAGACCCGGACACATTCGATCCAGACCATTACAAGGGCGTCACGGCACTAGCCTCCGAACTGGCTCAATCCACCAATCCAGACGACAGGGACCATTATGGCTACGGTTCCGGAAGACGTCTGTGTCCGGGCATCCATCTCGCGGAGAGGAACTTGTTCCTCGGGATTGCAAAGCTGTTGTGGGCATTTGAGTTTGCGCCGGGGAAGGATAAGGATGGAAAGCCAATTCCTCCTGACACTGATCCGACTACGGGATACAGTGAAGGATTCCTTGTGTGCGCGAAGCCCTACGCTCTGGAGGTCAAAGTCAGATCGGAGGCAAGACGAGAGACTATCCTGAGAGAGTTTCAGGAGGCCAAGAGGGATGTGCTTTCAGCGTTCGACAACTAGAATTAGTATGGATAAGGGGTTGTGGATGAACGCATGGCGCCAGCTAAGATGACGGGGATCGGGAAATACCTTGAAGGTCTGAACGCATTCGATGACGATCATGGCGACGATTGAATTGGGGTTTACAGAGTTTTTATCGTTGCCGATAAGGATATTGAAACATTCTGTGACAAGTCTCAGCTGATACTCCCTGCTATAGAGCGGCAGCAGGAGAAAACACCGACCTTTTTAGCTCCAGCCCATTTCCATCCTGGATGTACCTGATAGCTGATACCTGGAATTAAAGAACTTGAAAGAGATGAGGAAGAAGCTGCCTGCCTCATTCGTACGCTTTTGCAAAGCAAGTCGCAGCTCGTTCGAGAGGACTCAGAACCAGACCCTCAGCCCTTGTCGACAATGCTGCCGTCGTCGTAACATATTGAGCTGTGCTCCAAATCAGACGGAGAGTCTTCTTCTCCATGATGCAGGTCTCGCCAGCAGCTGATTACGTCCTTCACAAGGGAATAAGATTTGCTGTGAAATTTGATGGGCCTTCGCGATGATGGCACGTGGGCAAGGTCATCGCAGCAGTACGAAATGCATTCAACCAGAGACGCAAGTCGCCATAGGGTCGATCTGGTTTGGGAGTCCTTGCTTCTGCGGCAAGCCATGCCGGAGGACAACAACAAGCGCTCCTAAGTCAACAAGTCGGCGACATTCATGGGCATCTCGTCAATCTGCGTCGAGTAGTAGAGCTCGATATCCCGTAGGATGCGGACGTCCTCACTGGTGACAAAGTTGATCGCCACGCCCTTGCGGCCGAATCTCCCGCTGCGGCCGATTCTGTGGATGTAATTCTCTCGGTTGCTGGGCAGGTCGTAGTTGATGACCAGACTGACCTGTTGGACGTCGATGCCACGGGCCCAGACGTCAGTACTGATGAGGACTCGGCTGTTGCCCTGTCTGAAGTCGGACATGATGCTGTCGCGCTCCTTTTGTGGCATTTCGCCGTGCATGCTGCTCACTGTAAAATTCGCCTCGCGCATCTTGTCGGTCAGCCAGTCGACCTTGCGGCGGGTGTTGCAAAAGATGACCGCCTGAGTGATTGTCAGAGTGTCGTAGAGATCGCACAGTGTGTCAAATTTCCACTCCTCTTTTTCAACAGCGATGAAATATTGCTTGAGACCCTCGAGTGTGAGCTCATCACGCTTAACCAGGATGCGGACGGGGTCGGTCATGAATTTTGTTGTCATGTCCAGCACGTCGTAGGGAAGGGTGGCAGAGACCACCACGACCTGTGTGGCGGGGGGAAGGTATCGATAGACGTCATAAATCTGTTCTCTGAAGCCGCGGTTGAGGAGTTCGTCTGCTTCGTCCAGCACCAGCATTTTGATGTGTCGTGTGCGGAGATTCCGTCTTCGAATCATGTCTGCCACTCGCCCAGGTGTACCCGACACAACATGTTGCCCGTAGTCGAGTTTTCTGATGTCTTCACCAACGTTTGTGCCTCCAATACAGGCATGACATTGGACGTTCATGTAGTCTCCGAGGGCCATGATGACGCTTTGAATTTGGGTCGCCAGTTCGCGGGTTGGGGACAGAACTAGGGCTGGACTTCATTAGTCAAGTCTTGCTTGATGGGTTCCCATTCGTACCTTGTGTCTCCCGGACGGATGTTTCGATGATTTGAAGAATGCTGATCGCAAAGGTCGCGGTTTTGCCAGTGCCTGATTGCGCCTGCGCAATTGTGTCTCTTCCTTTACAGATTTGCACGATGGCGCGTGACTGAACGGCCGAGGGTGATTCATAGCCATACGCGTAGATTCCACGGAGGAGGTTCTCCTTGAGGTGCATATCCTCAAAGGTTGGCGCGACCGTGACTTCTTTCGAAGTCGAAAACTCCATCCGCTCTAATTCTCTTTTTGTCAGTCGCTGGGCCGATCGCACAGGTCGCCAGGGAAGCTGAACTCACCGTCTGCATTTCTGTCGATACCTTCGGCCATTTTGACCTGTTTTGTGATAAATGTTTGATTTGAAGTGATGTTGTTGTAGTTTATCGGTTTGATCCCTCCAGTGGCGGAAGAAATTCAGCACAGAGGCACTTGGCAGCCTTGCCCAGCAGCCAATCACCTGGTCGGCGCATATGGACAGCCTCACCTCTCATTACACTTTCCCCTCGCCCCGTATTCATTTTTCTCTGCGTGAGTATTTGAGAACTTGTTTCTCATCGAGACTCGTACTCTGTCGGGTCCCGACCATATTGTAATCCTCTGCATTCACACATATCGTAACGGGCCCTCGCCCACTACTCCTTCCAGATGCGATCTGGAGTCTCGCCCGCTGTCCTTCACATTGTTGGTGTCACACGTCATGCGCAACGTGCTGGTGATACCCATCGAGCATAGAGCGAGTATAGTCGCAGAGCACTTCATTCACAATGACGTCTTCCGTGTTCTTGGGTCGATCTGCCTTCGCTACTATGTGTTGAAAACGGTGGCGCTGGAGGCGTCCGAGTACTTATCATCGATGGAAGGAGATGTTATGGAGCTAGCTGTGAATGGGGTTATAATCTGTACTGATTAGGACTGGATCACTCCGGAATACTCATGTAGGCGCCGATGGTTGAGTCTGGCGGGTAGACGAGGGACCAACATAAAAGAGAAGAAGGCAATGGAGCGGAAGGACATTTGGACTCAACCAATTTTTTGGGGGTTTCTGTTATGCCCAGAAGGGCACACGAGCACAGAAGTGCTCAGAACATAAAAAAGGAAAACTTTTCTCGTCGCTCAAGCTCCGAAGGGCACAGGCAAGCCCAGCACAGAACCAACCCAGCACGAACCCGAGCAGAAAAACCAGCACAAAATCCACCACCACCACCATCACCACCACACCCCCCTTCCCCTCCTCCCCTCCCCCTCTGTCCACAGAACCACCCACAAAAAAACACCGAGAATAAGACGCACTTACAAGAGCGAGGCCGCCGTACTCACAACCGCCTCAGAGCTCCCGCTCTCGAAGTCTCTCGCGCAGGACGGCGATCTCCAACTGAGCCCTCTCAAGGAGAGCCTCATTGGAGACCGCACGCTCGCTTGCGAGAGCGGCTTCGAGTCGGGACTCGAGGACGTCGGTTGCGAGGCGGGCGACCTCGTCTTGTAGCCGCCGAATGCCAGCTTCGGCATCGACGGCGATCTCCCTCGCCTCCAGGAGCGACCTCCATAGCGAACCGATCGCACCCCGGATCTCGCCCTCTGCAAGAACGAGATCCGTGCGGGCACGAACGGCCGCGTGGTTGCCCCTGGCAGCGCCGATAGGGAGATCACCGTCGAGGACGTCGATCTCGACGCGGACCTCGCTCAAGTGAGCGAGCCCGGCGCGAAGCTGTTCCGCAACCGGGGCGTCAATCTCATCAAGATTGACGCGCCCGCCCTCCTCGTCGTCGTCGTCCTCGCCACCTGAAGACAAATAGTCTTCAGGGGCTTGCCATTCCCCCTGGGCCGAAGCCCCGTCGTCGTCTTCAGCCTCCTCAGAGGCAACGGTCGTGGCATCGGCCTCGGCCTGGTCCCTCGCCAGGGACCGCAGTGAGCCAGACCGGCCCACACGTCGCAGGCCCGGAGACCCGCCAACGTCTGGGTCGGTCGCAGACCGATGACCCCCATCATGGTTGGCTGGGATGGGTGTCGTGAAGACGCGACGGCCTGGTTCTCGTTGACGGAGGCGACGAGTCATGATGACGTCACTTGGTTGTGACGCTTGACTCGTGCCTGTCACTTGATCTGGGCGAGGGAACAGTGGATTGACGCGGCGACGAGGATCGACAGTTGGTGTGCTTGGTGAGATTGTACGCTCTTGAGGCGACACCGACTTTGGAAGATCTGGAGTAGACAGTGAGCTCAGATAGCCATTCGTGATTGGCGAGCTTGGACTACTTGGAGTGGATGATGAGTCTGAATGAACTTGTGGTGGCGAACTTAAATGACTTGGAGTGGTCAGAGAATTTGGACGTGTTCGTGTTGGGAGCGAATTTGGCAGGTCATATGCAGAATTTACTGTCGGACCAGGGATGTTGTGAAAACTCCAGCTTGGCTCATCAGACCAGAAGAGTGAAGCGCTGTTGACTGAATTGTTTGCTTGGTTTGCAGCTTGGCGATCAGCGCATTCAGGCTCAAATGAATTGTCTTGTGATCGGGTGGTTGCAGAGTTGTGCTCGATGTCAAGAGCGTCAGTGTCAGAGTTGCGAACGTCCGTGATCTGGGGATAGGCCAGCAAGGAAGTCAAGTCTGTGGCTGCGTGCACACGACGAAGATCAACAAGCGCTTCAACGAGAGTTGTCGCTGCGGACAGGTTTGAGTCGTCAGTTGTAGAGGTCGGGGCAGATCCAGAGGCAGAGTCGTTGATGAGTTCATTCAAAGTTGTCTGGGGACCGGGGTCTGAGCCAGAAGAAGGGCTGGACAGACCAGTGCTAAAGCCAGTGTCACCACGCAAGAGGAACTGGGAGAAGCTGTGACGACGCTGTCGCTGCTCAAGGGAAGAGAGAGGATCAGGCCGTGGACCTAGAAAGGGTTGATGTTAGAGAAATTTGGGTGGTTTGAAAGTGGGCGCCTCGATCATCTCTGAATTTCGACTCACCTGCGGATTGGCTTGGATGGATCTGAGACAAGCTGCGATGACGCTGATGCTGCTCAGAGGGTGAGGAGGGAGGATTACGCCGCGCATCTACAGTTAATGTTAGAGAAAGCTGGGTGGTCTGAAAATGGGCGCCTCGATTATCTCCAATGTTGGACGGGTTGAAAGTGGGCGCCTCGCTCATCTCTGAGTTTGGACGGGTTGAAAGTGGGCGCCGCGATCATCTCTGGGTTTCGACTTACCGGCGGATTGGCTTGGAGAAGACATTCTGAAGGGCGCCGACGTCTTGAGAGTCGGAGAACGTGTTGGGATCGGAGAAGTTGTTGGCGTATTGTCGGGGTCCGTATCTGACGGTCGCAAGACAGGACTAGAGGTTTGGAAGAGCTGCGATGGTGTTTTTTAACAAACGCAATCAGTTGAAAAGATGAGTGTGCGACGAAGAAAGGAAGTGAGTGAAAAATTGTCGACGACTTTGTCGTTGTTTTGCAGCCAGCTTTCTGTCGCACCCTCTATAGCATAAAAAAACGGCGCTAAGCCCACTATCTATGTAGACATTGACACAGGTCGCCAAGTCGAGCTGGCAGGAAATGTCAGTCCCGCGCTCTGACGAATGGTCTTCTTTGATATAGGTGGAAGGAAGCATAGTGGAAGCCAGATGGTGTGTGCAAGGCTGCGTAAGGCTGAACCGAGATTGGACAGATCTTACCAGATTGAGCCGCAGCATCCGCATCCACATTCAAAATAACCATTGCGAGAAATCTCAATGTCGTTACAAATGTCGTATGGTCGCGACAAAACCCATTTACGGGGTACGCGACCCACCTCCAGGCAAGCCTCCTCACATATTCAACATGCTCAGCTGCCGCTTCATGGGGCTTGCTGCGTGGTCACCATCCTCACTAGGACCAATGCCACTGTCCGTCCCTCCGCAGGGATTAGAGTCGATGTCGATGTCCCATTTCTCCTCAACATGAACACCGTCCTCATCATCCCCGTGGTCCCATCCTTTTTGGACTGCACCTCTGACATTCCATCTCAAAGCCCTTTGTACACTTTCCACCCATTCATTCGTGCCGGTCATAACGGTAGGGAAGGGATATTGCGACGCTTCTAGGGTCACATAATCGCCTTGTCTCAACTCAATCCGTCCCTTTCCATCAAAGGAGCAATATGCTGACGACCGGGACTTGTGAGGCACTGCTATTCGCAACGCAAGAGTGTCCGACAACACCATCGGACGGAAAGAGAGTGTGTGTGGACAAATGGGCGTCAACAGGATGGCAGGAATAGATGGGTGTATCAGAGAACCCCCAGCTGAGAGGGAGTACGCCGTGGATCCTGTCGGCGTGGAAAAGATACACCCGTCCGCCTGCACAATGGTCAGGAGCTCATCGTCACCGTAAAGCTCCAAGTTGGACACATAGGCAGAAGGACCGCGGTCAATGACGAGTTCGTTTAAAACTTCGAACTGCTCACCCTCCTCCACAGTGCCTTTCGCCGCTCCGGGGGAGCGATCAGCTCTCCAGACGGTGCAGGTAAATCGCATGCGAAGGTTGACTCGCATCCCAGCGTCGCCCATGACCCGATCAAGGTGTTCTTTGTATTTGTCGAACTCAAAATTCGTCAAGAAACCCAAGCTTCCCAACGAAAAGGAAAGCACGGGTGGCACCACCCGCTGAAACAGCCACGAGGTAAACAACACGGTGCCATCACCTCCCATTGTGAGAACCAGGTCGAATTTCTCCGGCGATGACCAGCACAGGTCCGGAGTCCAATACTTCAACATCTTGCTGAACCGAGGTTCCTTTGCCAACAATCCAGCGGCATCGAAGCGTTTCGAATGTCGGAGCTTGGCATCCACATAGACATTCACCCCAAGCTCGCTCCCGTACCGAGGCGTAGAGAGCAGCCATTCTGCAAGCTCACGCGTCAAATAAACGAGGCTGTTATCGCGAGCCTTAGTCACGATCATAACGTTGCGAACGGCTCGCTTCAGCGGTTTGCGTTGCAGCTGTTTGGAAACCTCTCTTACACCCGTTGCAGTTTGCATCAGTCTCGAATGCGAGTAGTCGTCGTCCGCAATCTCATCCAAGACTTTCTGAATGTCCACAACCCCGTCAAACCGCTGATGGAAAAAACACGGCGAGCGAAGAAAACTCGTCGACGTGGGCGAATAGGCTGACAGAGCGCCGGCCTGGAGACCAGCAAAGGTGGCCGTTAAGGATGGTGACGCTGCGCAGCCTCCTTGCTGATCCGAGTCGACCTCGTTGATGGCTGTCTTGAGAGCATTCAGTGTCAATGGCGCCGTGTTAGGGCCCGCACTAGGCCGCCGCGACACCATAGCCTTCATGATGGTTTGTCTTGGTATATCTATTGACTTTGGGTTTTTGCGGTGGGCGAGCAGAGATTTCGGCAGCAGAAGAGGCTTTGGGACGGGAACGGTAGGATGATGAGCAATATACGAGGTCTTCAGAGGATCGCTGGGAGCCGCGTTGTCGCCGCTGACGGATTTCTCGCTCACGAGATCGGACTCTGGGTGAGCCAAGTTGCGCACTGCATGTGTTTGGCCATCGGCGTCAATGGGATCTAGATACTCGGCATATTGACGCAGGATGGACTCCCCAACCGACTTTTTGGAGGCGGAATTAGCCATGCCATCAGGGAGCAGGAGGTCAGGGTTATCAAGGCCAGGAGTTGGTGGAGAAGAGTTGCTGATACTAGTGGCTTCGGAGGTAGTGGGCGAGGAGAAGGTGGAGTGGGCGTTTGTGTGGATGTCGAGGTTACTGATTGTGGGAGATGCGGTCATGTTGGAAAGAAGCAGGCCTAAAAAAGGAGCTGCAGGGCAAACGAGGCACAAACCGAGCCGGCGGGAGTGGATCTGCTCAACAGTTGGACGATCTGGAGGTGAAGTGTGGTGGATGGTGGTGATGGACAAGTGATGCCGAGGGTTGCGAGGGGCAAAATCCGAACACGGCTCGCAAGCGGGCCAATCTTCGGAACAATCAGAGCGCCGAAGCGTTTGACAGCACAGACGAGCCACTGATGGCCACTGGTTGAGCAGCTTGCCTAGAACCTTCTCCAGAAACGAGTCAAGGCACACGCGCGAATATCACCAAATCAGTAATCCGGAGGCTCGGAGTTAGCGGGTGAGATGGGAATGAATGCTTTGTGTTCGTGCAGGACATGCAGGTGCAGGGTGGTGCTTGGAATTGATTAAAATCCTCTGGACCAGCCGAGGTCGGACTGATTATGCAAAGTGCTCAAGGTCGTGAAGTCGTCAAGCAAAAGAGTGCCTTGGTCAATGGGGTTGTCGTAGAGGTAGTAGTTGGTGGTTGACCTTCGATGCTGTGCACGACGAGTATTTGTAGCACTTGCACATGCATGAGGACCACCAGGAGTCCAGGTCTGTCCAGTCGGGCTTGGGGCCTTGTTGCTGGGAGGCACGTGGGGATCTGCTGTGGCCGTTCATCACCCACCAAAGCGCCTCCTGTCGCAGCGCCTAGATCCCCAATAGTGGCACCTAGCATATCGGCCATCGGCCCCCCTGAACCACCAAAAGCCACAACCCACGAGCCTGGAAGTCTGCCGCACACAGACTTCTGTGTGCCAGCGAGGCTGTTTCTGAACCCCCCCACTTCTTGCACCTCACCACTGTTTGGCGCTGGTCAGCCGCCCACTCGGTGACTGTTTCAGCATTCACACACTGGCAAAACTTGTAACATCTTCAATCCTGTCGCCAGCTTTCGTCCTTAATCACCCGGGCTTCCATAGCTCTTCTTATCACATCCAGCACACAGATAACCGAGTTGTTTCCAGTCGTAGCGTCTGTTCCATTCATGGCAACATCTCCGTTTGAATGTTTGTTGACATCGCTTGCATTGGTAATGGTGCCGGTGACGGCGTGGGCGTCGGTGACAACGGAGTGACCAAGGACTGCTAAGCGAGCAGCATGTACTGCTTCTCGCCAACTTTCCATGCTGAACTTGCCTTCACTCTCCATCAACAACGTTCTGCCATCTTTGCCGAAGGCAAACACATGCAAGCTAGCGCAATTCTTTCGTTGCAAAACCCCTGGGTTGGTGACAACCGCGCCATTCTCACTGCTGATGCCTACGAGTGCAGCAGCAGCCAATGTTCTCATCTGCACCGCTGCATCTAAGCAACCGAGAATAGCAGCATTGAGTGCTGAAGTAAGCAAGTCGAGATAAGTCTCACCTTGCCCACCCCCTTTGACTCCGCCGGGTAGGCTCTCGTCACTCTCGACAGACACGACTTGGAGAGTGACCTGCAACATGGTTCGCGGAGTCTCCTCGCCAAGCACAATGGCTTGAAGGGTTCGTTTGATGAGCTCTTCGACATGTCGTTCTTTGACCATTCCGACACCATTGTGTGGCCTGAGATTGACCTCAATCAAGGTCGACTCAGGTATCTCATCAGATCGGTACGGAACTTCGACTGGGTAATTGACCCCGGCGACGATTTTGTAGCTCTTATGCGGCGCGCAGTATGTTGCTGACCCATCTGCATTGACCAATGTGCCCAGGACTGCCTGAGGAGGCTCACTCATGAGTAGAACAGCCATGATGGGGATCAATCAGTTTATGGGAGAGAGTTCGTGGCTAGGTGAAGGATTTTATAGGGCCTTGCCAAGAGCCATTAGCGCGAGGCTGTGAATGCAGAGGAGGAATATCCGCCTCGGAATGTATTCACGTCGAAAAGGACCACGAGACGAGAGGAAACCTTTCGTAGGGTGAATGGGATTTGGGACAGAGAATACCAATCACTCCTACGGTTGAATTCTAAACCAAAGCCTCCTGGGTATCAAAAGTAAACATAATCAATCAGGAAGCGCTCTCATTACACCTTCAAAGGCTACTAATGCCATCGCATTCGCAGGGAATGCTCTGAGGAAGCAGGGCACAAAGCCCCTCCAGTACCCTCTCCATCCGGACTCTCTATACACAGCAATGGCAGCATCCTTCCAATGTCTAAAGCGAGGAGTGCCGTCATTCAAACTGCCGCCCAACGGATCCGTCATTATGCGCTGCTTGACCACGTCCGAAGGGTAAGACGTCAGCCAGAAGACTTGTGCCGACATTCCGCCTGCCCAAAAATTGATCGCGGGAGTGGAAAGAGAAGTGTGTTTCTTGAACCAGGTCGTCATGAGGTCGTAGCTGCCCCACCAGCAGAAGAAGAATGAGCGGAAGATCAACGTTGAGAAGAGGCCGTGATACAAGCCAGGGATGCCGTGGGAACGAAGAATCTTTCTCGTGCAGTCTATAGGGCCACTGTACAGCCTGTCCTTCTTCTTGGCGGCGTATTGAATCTGCAATCGTGCCTTGACATGTTCAACCGGCGCAGCAATAAACGAAACGGTAGACCCCGCCATAGTCCCGGCAATCCCATGTCCAAAAGCAGGTAATTTCTCGTTGGCGAGCTCTGCAGCGCTCTTTCCGGGTCGGAAAGCCGGGTTGGCAAAGATGTTCTCAAGCAACAGCCTCCGGTAGACTGTCAAGCTTCCCAACATGACAGAGTCCATGGCCATCCATCCTAGCAGTGGCGGAGTTGCACCCTTGTAGACTCCTGTTATCCCTTCTTTTCTCAGCGTCTGCAACAAGCAGTCTAGTGGTCCTTTGAATTGCGCTTTCTGCGAGGTCTGCAAGCGAACCTTGATCGTATCGAAAGGGTGACCGACGGAGAGTTTTGCTATGCCCGAGAAGACGCCTGCGACGAAGCCCTTGTAGTTGCTTGCGATGGACTTTGTTGGCGAGTCCTGTCCGGCGGCTTGCTTGGAACGGTGCAAAACTTCAGTTACGGTTTCCTTGTGGCCATTTGGAGGCCTGGGCAACGGTGAGCATGCACAAAGAGCAACGAGCCGTGAGAAGAGGTGGTTCCTCCTTACTTACCTGTCCAAGGTTTCCGACATGCTGGGAACTCCTCCAGGCGGGTACCGCTGGCTACCGACTTGATAGAACCACACGCGCGGTTGCAACCATTATTAAAGCGATCAAGCCCGATTCAGCTTACCTGGATCCCGAAAACAGGCCTGACAACCAAGGAGCGGTTGATGATCATAATATTCTTATGAGAGTGGGAGAAGATTCAATTGCGATCGCCGGGGCCGATCTAGCCTCCCCGACTGGCTGCGTGATGATGTAGTGGATCTGGCCTGCAGGCAAAAACAGTACGAGAGTGGTTCCCATTTCGCCATCAAAAGAATAGGTAATTCGGTGCCCGCTAGATAAAAGCTTGCCTACCTTGGCCTACCTATGGTAGGTATGCTATCCCTCCTACTTGATCCGCGCCGCTGGCGCCAACAGCTCGCCTCCATGTACAGTAGTTCCTCCCTTCCCTCGAACTGGGCCTCTTGCTCAGGTACTGCCATCTACCTCGTATATACCCCCGGATTTCACTACGGTTAAAGACTCTGGCAGTTTAGTCTTAGTGGGCAAAGGTTCGAGCTCGCATCCAAAGCGGAGATGGAGAACCACATAAATGGAAATGCGCCTAGAAAAGTGTGGACGACCCTCATTACAAACACCAAATATCTCTCAGGCCTCCTCACGCTCGAATACTCCTTGAAGAAAGTTGGCTCCAAATATCCTCTGGTTGCACTATACACAGACACATTCCCTCCTGAGGGCCTCGAAGCCCTCAAAAGGAGAGGCATCCCGGCGAAACCTATCCCTTACCTCCTCCCCTCCGTCCCCAAGGAGTATGCCAATGATCCACGTTTCTACGACTGCTGGAGCAAGTTGACTCCCTTCAGTCTGACTGAGTATGACCGCGTTGTGCAGCTGGACAGCGACATGATGGTTTTGAAGAACATGGATGAATTGATGGAGCTGGGGCTGGATCCGCCTGAGATGAACGGCGAAGGAAACAGGGTATACGCAGCCAGTCATGCCTGCGCCTGCAATCCCTTGAACAAATCACATTACCCAAAACATTGGATACCAGAGAACTGTGGGTTCACTTCCCAACACAACACACCAGACGATGCCCAGATTCATGGGCCACCTCCCACCGCGGGGATAGGGTCCCCCAACGGCGGCCTAGTCGTGTGCAATCCTAGCCAGGGCATCTACAACAAGATCCTGGATGCCATGAAAAACGGTGACTTGACCTCGAGTTATGACTTTGCCGATCAGAGCTTGCTCGGCGATCGGTTTTATGGTCGTTGGGTTGGATTGCCATACATTTATAACGCTCTGAAGACGTTGCGATGGAAAGGAGTCCATGACGCAATATGGCGCGACGATCAGGTGAAGAACGTGCATTTCATCCTGAGCCCGAAGCCCTGGGACGAGAAACTGGAAGCCGTTCAGGACGAAACGCACAGATGGTGGCACCGAATAAACGATGAGAGATTGGCGCATGAAAAGTCTGCTGGGATCAATGATGGATTTTAGACCAAGCTAGTGAGGTTGTCGATAAGGAGCAAGGTACTGGTATTCTGATGTGATCCGAGACAATAGCGCCGGACGGGCGAAATAGATGCTGATAGAATTTGTATTACAGATTTAGATGCTGATGGCTGGCAGCAGCAACCCCAGACATGATGGCCCCTTGCTCACTCTTGATCCTCTCAAAAAGGGCCTCTGCGGCAGTCTCACAGCCTGGGTTCGTGCCCTCATGCAGTCTATGCAGTGAGTTGATGATCGACCGGTCCGTGTCAGGAACCCTGGTTCCAAACTCCGATTGCAAGAGAGCGAAGTAAGCCGTGTTGAGAAAGAGAAATGCCCACTGCAGGTTCTCTTGGTTCTCCTCGGGTCCGTTTCTCAGCTCACTCATCGACCACCATGTCATGGTCGAGCTCAACGAAGGGACGTGGACATTGCCAATCGTTTGATTGATCGAAGTGAAGGCTTTGCGATCAACTCTCCATCTCGGTTGTCTCATGATCGCGCGAGCGAGCCACGCTGTGGGAGCGGCGAGGCTGTTCGTTGTGCAGGAGAATGCAACGCACATGCCCACGTCGGTCGATACCAGGCCTTCCTGTACCAGGATGCCCGACGTGAAATATATCACGACAGCACGGGAAGCACTGCTTTGCCCGCTTCTCCCGACCCATAGTCTCATTCCGGTCATCTTCAAGATCCACCACACTAGATGCTGATCCTTTAAGCACAGCGCCGCTGTATGCCAGGAAATGCTCTCAGCAGTGACCGGAGTTGATACACTCATGTCTGGCGAATATACCCGCAAGTCGAGACCACTGGGAACGGGTTGGGATCGAGTGTCTACTTCTGTCGCATTTTGAATGGTGATCAGACCAGTGCTGCAACACCTCCAGTCCACTCTTGCTTCAGGATCTTGTCCTGCTCCCGGACGGAATTCCACCGGTCTGCTTTTAGTAAGACTACGAGCGAAAGCGGCAGAGATACAAATAACAAGCTCGCACACACCGAGCCACCAGCTAGACGAACGAAGTCCGAGGTAATGACACAAGAAGCTCAACGTCAGGCAAATCCCAATCGCATCAGCCTTGATGCATGCCCAGCTGGTTAGAGGCTTCAGCCAAACCGCTTCGAATGCCTGTCTCCCACCATTGACAGCAGAAAGGAAGTCTGCTCCCAGCCTGCTGTCAGACTGCGCAGCTATCACAAGCCCATCCTTCCACGTCTGCGACAGAGGCGCACTTCTTGGTCGAAGCGGAATCGAATGGCTAGAATGGTGAATATTTTGAGCAGCCAGAGTGACGAAGGTGACGATTCCGATATATCCTATAATCGTTAGGATCCAGCCAGTTGAAAGCCGCCACGCCAGGCTGAAGCCCAACTCAATCATATACAAGGCCAGAATGGTCAACGTCGAGCTCAACCCGATAAGAAACGATATCTTTCGCGATGTGACGTTGGCCGTGCAGTACTCAGAAACCGCATCAAAGGTGATGACGAAGGAGATCTTTCCTGCTCCGCTGACGGAAACCGCAACACTTGCTGCATTTTTGCTTGGTTGTCCTGATATATTCGCAGCTGGCAAATTCAGTGTGTGTTGGAGGTGGTCCCTCAGAGTCTCTGACTTTTGGTTGAGTAGATTGACCTGCAGTGCGGCCGCCAGTATTTCCAGCAACTGGTCCTTGATGCCATCCTTTTCCTGATCAGTAACTAGGATTTGCGAGCACCATCTCAACTTAGCGTCTGTTGCAGGAACCTGCAGCCGAATCTTTGCAACTTCGTAAGCATGGCAGGAGTGGAGTTGGTCTGTGACGTCTCTGACGGTGTCTTCTGAGACAGTGGATCGCAACACTGATACCCCCACCGCTCGAGCGTGAAAAGCTGATGTGGCAGTAGTTGTTCGCACCAGGTAGCCGTCGACCAGTTCTGGATGCACGCCGTTACAATTAACACGAGACATTTCCAAGGCGGCAACACTCCGAGATTCCTGCTCGTATCCCAGGAAGGAGCGAATTCGATGAGAGCCCGACATTCGGAAGAGACTGGTGACGATGGAAACGAGTCCCAGGGGAGCGGCCGCAAGGCTGAAGGCTCCACTGATGCCCCTAACATCTCGCAACAATTGTTTGGTACTTCGTTCGCCGATGAGGAGAATCAGAGGCCCAACATCAGAAAGGGCGGTGGCCCACGCGTCGTAACTTGAATCGACGGCGCCACCGATTGGGAGTCCCCAGGCTTTACCAATCAAAAGACAACCGTAGATGAAGGAGCCAGAAAACATGGCGGTCAGATCTGTGTCATTGATTCATTGGTGGAATATGAGGGAAATACTCTAGACTCTTTCTTTATCCATCTCCATGGCCTGACAGCGAAATATTTTTGAGACTGATGAGGCTGAAGTGTTTCAGAACACACTGGCAGCCCGAGGCCAAGGACGATGTTGACCTTGTTGCACACATAGCAGACAAGGGTAGAGGAATCAGGGGCAACGGATGATGATTGGGCGGCGGAAGACTCACCATATCAGCCTGTAGCCTTCTGCTCGGTCTGATATACATGGTCTCTATTGGGTCGCCAAAAGGTCAGTTGCTCAGGGGTCGCTGTGACCAGAGGTTGGGTGGCGAATGTAGCAACACAGCTAGCAAGAACAGTAGTACTGTACCAAGTACTGGTAGACACAGAAGGCCGAGCAAGAGTCACAGGTGAGGAACAAGAATCATGATATTGCCAAAGTTGCAAACTTGATGCCTGACGCTGGATCACCTCATTGATGATGATTCAAGATCCAGTAAGTCCCGGCCTGCCATTTTTCCCACCATCATGGCCCAACTTGGTAGACTTCCGCCTGCGCTTGCGCCTTACCTGCGTGAAGGCACACGACAAGTCTTCCATGCACGGCCGACACACTCTCACATTCACCGACAGTCTTCTCGATGAACCAGAGGGGCTTCGTTTGTCTCTCTCCCACGAACATGAGTTCGATACAAACGCACCGCATGGCACTCATCTGACCTGAAGATTCCCTCTCATTCTGCAGCTAGGCTGATATTCCCTCGCTTTCACCCAACCAGCAAAATTCTCGAAGCAAAATGATTGCTAGATGGTCAGAAGAGAGTCGGGTTACTAACAGATCTTGCCGTCGCATCCGCAGACTCGTCCTCCTCGAGCAATGACTGCCCATCCGAAGGCCTCTGCCATGCCTAATCATCCCGGCCCGGGCCCAAAGCTCAAGTCGAGGCCTTTAACTGACTGGTCGAAACCCTTCTCTGGACCTCGCGAGAGGGAGAAATCTTCAGGAAAGAGGAGCTGCTGGGCAGCGGATGAAGCCTTGGAGGCCAATGGTCGTGGCGGTTCACATCCACCTACTACGTCCTTCCATCAGTCCATCGGAATCTGCAGTCATGAGTCGATATCGATGGGCACCCCACGCCCAGATCCTCTTCATCCAACGATCTTGTCCTGACGAGCGGCAGAAATATCACAAATTCAGACTGCCCGAGGAAATTCTGGAACCGTCAGTGGCTAGAATTAAAGGCACGGTCAGCATTTTTGCTCATTTTTTCCCACTCCAATGGCTCCGTGCAACGTGGAAGTGCAGGCTACGAATGATGACTGCGCCGGCGCAGACTTTGGTGCCAGATTATTGTGAAAGGTCTCTTGCAACTGGGCTTCCCCGTCCGCAAGCACTCCCAATTCGCAGCCCCAAGATCAGCATCACCGCCCAATGTCAATTACAGTTAGTAGTGGGGCGCAGGCCAGAATTCAATGAGACCTGCAGTCTTGTCAAAATGGATCAACGAGGCAAAAAGATGGTTTGACCTACCTGCTAGAAAGGGCACCACAACGACAGCCGACTGAGGCAATTGGGGCGGGCGCCACCGAGATGAAACCACCTGTGACAGGGCGAGGACCCGTCGCATCGACCATTCAGCGGCGGCCTGTAGCCGACCATCTCTTGCCATCTCTTGTAATGGTCCGTTTCCCCTGCTTCCTCGGGCGTTGAGGTCCGCAGTGCCGTTCCACAAGGTGCCTGCATTGGCCCAAGCACCAATCCAAAAATGCCGAAGATGGGCTCCTACTCAGCACCGTCGCATGCACCTCGACAGCCCGCTCAAGCCCGGCTTCGCAGCTACAACATTGTTCGAGCCATGCGTTTTTTCGCATACGTCGTCCTGTGCAGGCCGAATCTGAGGCGAGATGTGGAGGGATTCTGCATCATGCAGCTGGACCGAAATCCTCCCTGGCAAAAGGCAAGCTAGTCCGCCTCTTCAAGCCCTGACTTCTCCCTCGTTCCTCGCGCAATTCTGGCATGAGGATATCACCACCTACTGTCACAAGCCCTTTTTTGCTCATCACACTCCCATCACTTCAAACCGCGGTTACAACAACCAACTTGACAAACTTTGCAAAGCTTTCGAATTCGTTTTCTGTCTCTTGTCAAGACTATTTCTTATTCCTCTTCTTCTTATGCCCGTTTCCTTTCTCCAACGTGGGACAGAATCTGTCATCCATGAAGTGCAACAGCGAGAATAACAAAACCGACCGGGTCTCAAAAGTATTTCGACGTCACGCTTAGCATCTTTTGAGACCTGCTTGTGTGACCTCTGTGCTTCTTTTGGGCCCTACAAGTTGCAGTGTACATTGAGTGTGCACTTGTTCTGGACGTCTGCCAGACGCCTCACCGCTTCCTTCGTACCTGAACCCTTCCTCTGTACCTGATTTTGTGAAGCAATACTCTTGCACCACCTCAGTAAAAACTGGTCAAGCGGTGCATAAAGATTTGACCTGCTCCACGCCACGCAACACAGGCGACCATCACTCGGTCATTCAAGAGCACATCTCCAGCCTCACATTACGACTTCAGTCTCCCTCAAAGCCATGTGTGTGCGTACGAAGACCTCGTACGGATGTGGATGCGAATATAAGACTACCGCCGAGTGCCACTCATCGCATTGCCAGGGTCTGGAAAGATATCACTACCCCAGAAGTGGCGACTGCCGTGCCTGCAAAGAAGCTGGCAGCACGGTAACACGAGGGCGAGATGGCAAAGGCCGGTATGGACAAGAAATCAGCAGGCGAAGACACTCTAGGGAAGATGATGAAGCATCCATCGAGGAACTGCCCCCCAGTGCTGATGTTGGTGATGGAATAAGTCCGTGGGCTCCTCCATCATTGCGAGAAAAGGAATGGAGCAGCCATTCTAGAAAAAAGGCAGATGACGCTTGGTTGCAAGAACATGCAGAGCGAAACCTGGACCTGCAAAGCATCCGCGACTCTCTGCCGGACGATACCCCTTCTGATCGCAGATCCCGGAACGCCCATTCTTCCCCTCGACGACATGCACGAATCTACTTGGTGGATGATGATCTCCATTATGACCGTGGGGACAGCTATGACCGACGTCATCGCCGGGAGGAGTCGGGCAGGAGCCTTCCTGTCGAGATACGCAGCACCAATGTCTACCGTCGGCGACGACAAGACAGCCAAGACAGTTTCGACAGCTTGCGCAGCTCGCGTTCTTCGACCCGAAAGCATACCCCGGCGCCCACCAGTTACACGGCGTACGAGTACAACGATCTTCACGATTCCGGATACGGCTCATATGGCTCTCGAGCATCTCATGGGTTTCGAAGAGCAAAGACCGAGCCCTACGCCTACCCACCATCTCCACCACCCCAGGTTGTGAGCATCAAAACACCCTCACCCCATTCTTATACCCCATACGGAGTCGGCCCGGTCAACATTGTCACACGCGCTCCGGCCTATGGGTACAGCTCTCCAAGATACTGATTCAATAAGAATCCTCCTTGATCTTTGCAGCAAGGCATTTCCCAGGCGTTTTGAGCCCAAGGCAAGGCTGAACAAGGCATTACATGGTCTTTGCATTGATGCAGGCAACTGAGCATCGGTCACTTTTCCTCTATCAACTGCACGGCGACACACCTAGTGTCTACAAGCTTGTTCCAGTCAAGAGATATACAAATTTCCGCAATGCAGTGCAATGCCAAGATGCTAACCAGCGGGCATTTGTGAGCCCCTAGTGGGTTAGTTATTCATTGAGTTTGTGTGGCGAAGGCTTCCAGGTTGTTATTGACACTGTGAGATATCAGTGTCTCTGATGTATGATTGTTACAATGTGGGTCAACGATATCAACGAAGCGAATGAGTGAACAACGGCGGACGGACTTTGACTCAAATCAGGATGTTTTGAGCTAATGACATAAGGACCCGGCGCTGAGAGGACTTGGGGAGGAGGGTTACCGTAGGAGATGTCTGGAGGCTATAGTCAGTACTTCTAGTCAGTTTTGGAGGTACTTTGACCTGTATCTAGTATTTTCTGAACTATTGTTACACGCGTTGGTGATGAGTTCGCCTTTGGAGCATTCCCACCCACAGCACCCACATCGACGTGCTATGCACGTACATTTGCCCGGATGTCTGAGGTCGAGCGGAACTCGATTCTTTCCATAATGCGATCCGGCCACTGGGTTTACCCTTACACCCTCTCATTCGTCGGCGCTTCGATTTTTCGATTTCGGGCTGGCAAGTCTTTGGGGATGCGTAGCGTACATTCCCTCTTGTCCCCCCTTGCGAGAGTGAGCGCCCACGGTCTGTTTGCCACATAGCTACTACATTTTGTACGTAAACATGTCTACTAGTGCCACCAGGGCGGAATACGTCGACCTCGAGAAGCTACACACCTACAAAAGAATACTTAATCGTACGGAGTAATGCCTCTACCTCTACACAACCCAACGACGTAAGTTTAGGGATTCAGACGCGGATGGGGACGGCGATGCGATGCGAGACGAAAGTGCACAGCCCCCCTAACCTAAAAGGCAATCCTAGCTTTCAGCTTTCCAGTTCATGATTCAGCTCCAACCTTGAGATTTTTTTGGGTTTCAGGTCCAGGTCCAAGTCCAGGTCCCAGCCTGGTGACATACTGGCTGAGTTCGGGCCCCGCGCAGGTCGCCATGTCGGGAGGAAGAGGCTCGCCTCGCCACGTAATAATACCTGGGTGCAGGTAGGTGTACCGGGTTCGTACGGAGACGTCTGTAGAGCACCCGGACGCCCACGTCCTGCAGTGTCTTATGTACTCCAGGCGCCAGTCATGCCAGAACTTCCTCTTTGCCTAACTGTATTCCTTTTTACCCGTTTTTCGTTTTTCGTTTTCCCCTTTTCTCTTCCGCACGTTTGGTCTAGATCCTTCGAATACGCCCGAGGACCTATTCATCAGAATGTAAAAGCATCAAGACGAGACAAGAGGAGAGGCCCGAGTGATGACGAGATTAACAGACCTCACTGACATGGCGCTGGACTTCTAATCGACTAGATGGGATTTGATTCTTGGTCGAGATCAAGCCCCTCCCCATTATGTGTCTCTCCGTCATCTACTGTGAAGCTTGCAGTGTAGCCTACTTAAATTACTTATTCCTTGACCATCCAGCTCAAATCAAACGCCCCTCACTGTGGCTGTTCTCAGCGTATTGTTACCGCCAGGCTGTCCAACACTCGATGTGTATCCGGCTGTGCAGTCGCTATCAGATTGAAACCCCGCGGAGAGGTCTGCATGGTGCCCACACTACACGAAGCATGAAACAGAGCGAGAGCGACGGTTGTCCGGCCTTCGCGTTGGAAGTAGTCATGGAACTCCTTTCTCACCTAACTCCTCAACCATCGAAGCATCCACGGGGATTCTCGCCTCGTGCTCGTCGAAAGCCTAGCAGAACTCCTTCTCCGATATGATGGCCTTCTCATTCTCATACTCGCTCCATCTCAGGGTGCTCGTGTCACTCTCCGTCCCACTGTGCTTTTCCTTCGGCGGAGTCTCTTTCTTCATGGCCGCCTTCAACTTGGCCGTTCTGTCCTTGCTTTCTTTCTCGAATTTCGCTGACCAGTCGATCTTCTTCATCTTGCCGTCCTTCGCGACGACAACATCACCCGAAGGGACCCACTCAGAGGACTTCCCCATGGAAGTGATGTCACCGAGCTTGGCGACGCCATGGCCAACGGTCTTGAGGGCCAGGCCGACTCCCGAGATCGCGGAGCCTGCAGCACGGAGTGGGAATTTGGCGATGCGTACGCGGCGGGATTCCTTGACTTGAACCATTGGCATGCGGGGAAGGGCTTTGATATCACCTGGTCTGAGGGCAAGGACCCAGTCCCAAGTGTATTGGGAAGTGTCGCCGCGGTATTGGAAGTAGAAATTTCCCTGTGAAAGGCTCATCAGCGCCAGCGGTTGGAAGGGCACAGGTTGGAGAGGCGTATGAAACTTACCAAGCCAGACTTGTCCGCCACAGTCCATTGTAGACGCTGGGTGTTCGGGATGACAACGGGCTTCGTGACGATAACAGCCACAAACTGGATCTTGGCATCCTTTGAGTAGCTCTTGGTATCAGCAATCGCGCAGTACTCGTAGTCGGCGAAGTGCTGTTTGTCGACTGCCTGGAGTTTGGCAATCGGGATGAGATGGACGTGCTCGGTCGGGGAGAAGACGGTGACTGAAACCTCGAGAAGAGAGTAAGTTCAGAGTCAATCTAGGTAGAAAACGATGCACTGGAGGTGGTAGAGGCGTACACAGCCAGCTATAGATCTTTTGCGCAACTTCCTTGACCGTCATATTCGTGATACCCAATTCAAGATGATTTGGTCCCCATTTCGCCTTGTCATTCTCCTTTGTGCCATCTTGAAGATATAGGTTCACGCTGGCAAAGTTGCGTCCGCCCTTGATGGCCTGCTCGCGGATCTTGGTAGCGGCCTCGAGCTTGTCAGTGGTCTTGGAGTCTGCAAGGTTCTCGGTGATTAGCATCACGTTCTGGCCGGCGCCAAAGGCGTCGTCTTTGAGCGTGTCAAGAGTAGCAGCAAGCTTTTCCCGGGCCTCGAAGTTGTCGTCTCCGTCATTTGAGTGGTGCAAGATGCTGCAATCACCAATGATGCCCTTGAGACTGGAGACATGGGGAGTGCTGGTCGTCGGGTCATTGACATAGATCCATGGGTGCATGGGCAGAGATGGAGGAGTGGTGAAACCCAAGAGACGGTTCGACTTCTTGCCCATCTTGAACGAGATCCACGCCTGGTTGAGAGATTATTTGCGACAACGATACTGCGATGGAGGAGCAGAGAGGACTGATTCGAGGGTGGACAGCGTGGGATCAGATGGGGGCGGTCAGTTGAGCAAGGTACTAAGGTGCCAAAGAATCGAGATGTGCTCTAGGTTAGGAGAGCTTGACGAACCTGCAAGCCACTGCCCGATAGGACCCTTCACAACGAAAAGGGGAAGAAGTAAAGGTGAAGTGGTGGTCAAGGAAGTGAGAGAGCAGTCAGGTCGACACTTTGATTGCTACCCCTCCTCAGTTGGGATGCCAATCCTCAAGCCATTGCTGAGGAAGTGGGACACAGGCATTGGAAACCAGACAAGGCTGAAAGTCATGTGTCCATGATTGTGTGAAAGAAGCTCTTTGCAAAGGTCGGAACCACCGTGCACTGCAATAACTAGCACATTTGAAGCATGGAAAGTTGAGGCTACGCGGATCACCACACGCTGGTACCCGGGCCTTGTCAGGCTCACAAGGCAGACTCCAGCCCCTCATCCTTCTCCTGCTTGTGATAGTCCGGACTTCTCTTTGCATTCGCACGAGTTGCGCCCGTAATTGGAGGGACAGGCGTAGAGAATGTGCCGAAAGAGAGCCTACCAGCCTTCAGATACAACAAGGTTTGGCGAAAACTGGTCAAAGGCTCCCACTGCCGCTAGTGTGGAGGAGACCGGCGTTGGCAGCCATCTGCTGCCTGGTAGCCGCAAATCTTCATTCGCCCAGTCCCCAACCAGACCGTGGCATGTTCATGGTCCGGCAGGATGCAAGGCGACTCCTTTCCTTCACGCCCAGGTCAGGTTGAAAGAGTCAAGTAGGCTTTTCCGCCTTCCCCTGCCGATTCGATTAGTATGGAAAGCTATTGACCGTCATGTGCTTCTCAGTCAAATGGTATTGGACGGAGCGCGCCCGATGTGCCCATGCGCTTCCTCATCTCTTCTCCCGCTGCTACCGTGCTAGGCACCTTGATCCCACAGCAGTCGCCCCAGTAGTCAGGTTCGTGTCCGAAGTCCTTCACATGCTGCATTCTCTCCGCCTGCGCCCGAAGTGTCTCTTCGTCCAGTTGGCCCATGTCCTCAGTGCCCGGTATTAGACCCCCAAAAAGGAAGTGCTGCATGATGGGCAATTTGCCCAGGACTTCCTTGACGAACATTTTCCGCATGCCGTCTTCCACTTTTTGCCAGCTCTTTGCACCTGAGATGTCGTCTAGCATAGGGCTATGCCAACGCAATCCCTTGACAGTCTTGACGCTGTCGACCCACCGCACTTGGTTGAGGTAGATGTAGTCATCACCTTCCTCATCCAGGACAACGTTGTTGTGGATCGACCTGGGCGTGATGTAGGCATGCCCGACTAGCTGGCTTGCACCGAACAAAAAGGGCAAGAACTGGTAGTCGTCGAGGCCCCAAACGCCGTGGCTCCCAGCAGGTTCTAGATAGTATGTGCTCTGGATCTTGCGCATAAGGTTGAGATATCGGATGAAAGTGTGCATTACAATCGCAGGTAAGTCTTCTCGTTCGATCTGCTTCAGCTGGTACAGACACAACAACCACATCATAAAATTCAGTTCGTGTCCAGACCCATAATCCAGTCGCTCCTCGGAACCAAATGAATTGATCAGATAGACAGAGATCTCTTTGATGGCATCCTCATTGTGCAGCCCCAGGACTTCCTTGTGCATCCTGTCCACATCTCTTACAATGGCTTTGTGCAGACTGCGAAAGACCGGGTTGCCAAATCTCGATCCCGTGTCGAGAGGAGGATATTGTTTTACCATTCTTTCCAAGATGTCGAGGACCGTGTCAAGTTTCTTGATGGTGGTCGACAAACATCGAGAGTCGAGCGAGGAAATTCGACGACCGCGGACACAGTCGGCCAGGGTGAAGATCCATGCCAGCACCAGCACGTACGTCGGCGAGGCTAGGAACTTCTCATGATCCGAGGGCGACAGAATCCGCTTGACTGGCGTCGTGAAATGCACAGATTCGATCGATGGAGGGGGAGGTAATGCAGGTGTCTTGGGAGCAGGTTCTGACAGTGCAGGCTGCTGAGATGATTTTCTTCGAGACCCAGGAATCAACTTGGGGATTGTATGAGACAGCTTTCCATTTTGGTTATCAGCATTTCCATCGGCATTGCTGTGTTTGGTCGTTTGTTCGGATGCCATGGTGCTAAGACTCTATGTTGAAAGTGGTATCCAAGTCTGTTGTTCTCCGAAGCAATCCATCGTAAGAAGGGCAGTTTTCGTAGGTGGCGTGAATGCCGGAAACTGCTTTGCCCGCCACCGGTTGCTTAGGAGATGCCCCTGTCCGGAGCTACCCCGCGAGCCACCTTTGAAACCCTTCAAAGAAGTGCAAGAGCCCAGAGTAACTTATATATGTAGACCGATTTTGACGTCCACTATCAGTGGAATACAAGTTACTCATATTGAGGATTTAGGTTATGATACATCTCTCTTTCCCGAGCCGTCGACATTGAGGAGACGCAAAATCAGTAACGAAACCCAGCCAACTTTTACCAGTGTTCGGACAAGGCGGTTTCTGGACAATATCACTCAGCTCGATGATCTCGCAGTCCGCTTTTTCTTTTCAAGCTCGCATGACGTTTCCGACACTATTAGTACGTGCAATACGACCCTGTACGCCCCAAGTACTCGGTAGAATCTCAAATATCCGAGAAAGATCCAGAAGCGACCTCCGTTAGAAATCAAACTTAATAGAAACGTGTGATTTTCGTAGCTTTACCCGGTACGTGTCTTGTCTTTTTCGAAAGCCAAATCTTTCACTGAGCAAAACATTACGGAGCTTTCCAACACATCAACAATCTCCAGGTGCCCGTATTCTCTTGCTATATCCGGCGGTAAACGATGTGAAACGATTGGCTTTCTCTCTGGTCTCGCACTATGTTGTCGCAGAAATTGCACTACTGCAGCATTTCTACAAGTCCATAAAGCGGTTCTATGGAACATAATCACGTCAATAAGGTCGGGTAACGTTTCGGAAAGCGCATGGTCGAGGAGGGCACCTCTCTCGTGAAGCAGGGTCAATATTGGCAGAGTCGCTGGATCATTTTGGTCCCTTTTGCAGATGTGGGTGACCAATTCCCCTTTTGTCGCGTCGTCACCATGATCAACGAGTCACCGGACGGTATCAATCGAGGCGAACTGAACACCACGAGAAAGTGGTGTGCTTTTATATTTTCCGGCATACGCATTAGGGTCAGCGCCAGGTTAAGAAACCAACGGACAACCTCGTCGCGGCACCCTGTTGGATAGCATACCCAGATCACTCAGCTTGTAATCATGTCCCTTGCAGGCACAAGCTTACCCCAGGAACAGCGGAGCCAAATAACTTTCCGGCATATCGATGTCCCATCCATGATCAATCAACACCTGTAGAGTCGCTAAAGATATGGACTGTGTCGCAAGCACGACCAAACCTTTCAATTTGTCCCAGGAAAATTCATGACCGCATCCAAGAAGAGACCCAAGGTCACCGGCTAGTCCGTCTTCAGCAGCCTTGAGAGCATTGGGAGAGGGATAAACTTTGTTGATCCTTCTGCTTTGTTGAGCCTAGGATTTTATCAAAGGATGTCATTCTGCGGTATTGTGAGATTGATGGAGTATTGAGTATACCTACTTGTAGTAGATGTCAATTCTAGTGAGCCAGACTGAAAAAAAAACAGCGCGGTCAGACGAAACTTCGCTGGGTACTCTTCCGCAGCGAGTTACATCAGACACGAAGTCCATTCTTTGTCAGACGCAGCCACTTAATTTTCTGCTCCGCTCGCCTGGGCACAGCTCGCGTGCTTCTTCCCCGCCAAAAGAGAATCCCTCAGTGGGCGGCGCGTCGCCCACTAGCCTTGCCATCCCAATAATGATCTCATCCGCACGGTCACGCGTCGCCTAAAACAACCTGGGCCGCAGCTTCTCGGTTAGGCAGCATGAGATGGCGGCTATACAAGGGCATCTTTGTCTCTTCGGGTCTCGACCTCTACAGCATGTTTTCGATGCGATTTACAAAGTCGATGCCGTGCTCCCTAAATCACGCCATACCTTGGATTCTGGCACAATTCCTGCAGCTTGCGCCATCTTCCCAACAGACCTGAAGTATCCTTTCTCGATCGGCTTCACCGCTACCTCCAAGACTCCATGATCGACGCCTATTTGCTGTTCTGAGCTTCGGTCGTAGCCACTTCTTCTTTTTTGGAACTGCATACCTCCAATCATTGCATCTTATTTCCTGCCGACCTGATGTCTCTCAGCCCCGAATGCTATCAGACTCTCAAATTCAAGGATCGCTAACCGGCGTCCCCATCCAACTCTTGACATGACCCTTTTCGTTTTCAGGGCTGCGGACATTATACGTTTTTCGATCAAGCTATGATGCTATGGAGTCGCACAATCACGACCGCAGTGGCAATCCCGAATCCCTTTCCACCTCTTCAGATATAACTCCAGTGTCTTCAGCGCAACCTCGTCCTCCAAGGCGGCAGTCTAGCGTTCGCTTTTCCGAGAACACCAAAGCCCCCTCCCAACCTCCCATGTCGTCCTATCGTCGAAACCCAAGCGAGTCGGATGAGATCATTCCCATTCGAACGGCCGACGGACAGTCAGATCGTCGGTATAACGCCACCGAAGAAAGGATTACTCCCAACACTGTCGGGTCTTCAACTCTCAGCCCGACGACTCTCGCAGGTTCCGGTCAGGAAGAGGAACAAGATTGTGCACAGCAAGAGCCTAAACACGCTTGGACGCCAGCGTGGTTGAAGAAGATTCCGGAAAAATATGGTTCGGTAACACTGGAGAATAAGGGATCCGTGGCCCGGGACCATCTCGCCCTCGAGAGAACCTTCCTCGCCTGGCTGCGGACCAGCCTAGCATTTGCGAGCATCGGCATTGCCATCACCCAGCTCTTTCGCCTCAACACCGCCATTCAGAGTCGCAGCGAGTCTCTCAGCGTCCGCCAGACGCTGCCTCTTTCACCGCTCGTCGGGCACTCCTTGCCAGACGAGCTCCTACCCTTTCTTCAACAGATTGCCGCATCAGTTGCTAGTACGCCGCCGCCGATACCTACTTTAGGCCCTACTCTCCTGGACCAACTGCTTCTCCTCCCGCCGCGCGATGTTGGCGGACCTGCAACCTCTAATGACTATTCGGGCGAGATAGGCGTTGAAACTGATGCTTTCAACGATGTCGCTGCCACGAAACTGCGTCATGTTGGAAAGCCGCTGGGAGCGACATTCATTGGCATCTCCATTGTCATCTTGTTTATCGGCTTCCATCGCTACTTCGAGGCCCAGTACTGGATTATACGCGGCAAGTTTCCAGCGAGTCGCGGAAGCATTTTTGCCGTGTCTTTTGTCACGGGTTCGCTCATCATCGCGAGTTTCGTTGTGGTGCTCGCGATATCTTCAACCAGCTACGAGAGGAAATAATAAACGCAGCATCCATGTATCATAAGGGCGGACAGCACTCAACTCTGCATCCTTTTTGCGGAAAATCCGGTGCATTGTCCAAAGGTTGTTTAACCGTTACTGCACTTACGAGCGTCAGAGTCCTGATTTTGATCAGAGTCATCCGAGAAACACTGGTCCTTTGTGGGTGATAGGCCTGGCCCGCCTGCACGGCGATATTGCCCAGATCGAGGGGAAAAGGACGAGGCACCACTGTGACCAGAATGGCAGCTGCGGTTTTGCTCGAATTCGACGGAGGATAGCGTGTCTTCCTTGTTGTGCAAGGCACACGCGCGAGATATCAAATAATGCACAGCGCTCGTAACACTTCTTGATAGCAGTGTTTAGAAGCTGGGCGGATGGGTTGACAAGCGTTTGAGCACCATAGCTAAGAGGGAGGTTGTTATGTGGTGATACGATCCTGTGTCGACTCTGCCTACATACAGGCACTGTTGTATTTGTATTGCTATATGTATGTAATCTGGATTCATAGAGACGAGAGAGCACAGCCCGAGGTCACCACAAAGCGGCGCTTTTAAGCCAGTTTAGTTGACGGGACAGAGTGTATTCAATGAGCATCCCTACCGCTCTATCTCCGTCTCCGCCTCTCTGTCTGTCTCTCTTTTTGACGACCTTGTCCGACAATGTCTCGATGCACAGCAGCTCTCCTCACCCGGAAAGTCCTGAGCGTCTTCGACAGCGATCAAAAATACGGACTATCTTGGTGCGACTTCCCATGACTTAGCGCAAGAGTTTCTTCTCACCTATCCGTCCAGCGGTGCTGGACAGAGCAGACAGACCCGCCTCGATCTGTTCGTTTCTCTGAACCTAGTGTCATGGGTTGGGTCAGGAAAATGCGTTGGAGGCATTCTATGATTCATTATTGGGAGAGTACAGAGCACTCGGTAGTTCGTAGTCGTCTTCAAAGTACGTTGGTGGACATCATCTGTCAGCGTCAGCCAGGGGCGCAAGAGGCGAGAAAACCGTGTGGCTCGGAAGATTTGTTGCTGCTGGCGCTGCTCGTGCTGCAAGTCATCTCTCGCTTGGTGGTCTTGGCTTTTGGCATCATACGCCCCTTTCCAATTCCCCAGCCCCCATCTTTTCTTTGCTGGGTCCTCCCATGCTCGTGCGCGACGGTGACACTTTTTCCGGGATCCAAAAGGCTAAAGTGCTTGCATCGGTGTCCAAGATTGCAGGACCATGCAAGTGCTGGAAGGGTGAAACAGGACAAGCAAGATGGCGGTTGGAGCCCCTTTGAGAGGAGTCGGATAAGGCTGTGCCACTCGGCGGTTGTGGTTGGGTGACAATCGATGAGGACCGACGCCGCCAAATCTTTGTTTAAATTTAGTAGGCTGGTGAGTGACCTCCTTAGACCAGAGTTCGAGGCGCTGTTTGACCTAAACACTCGGGGACAGGCCGCTTTTCTCAGAGGGTCCCCCTCTCTCCCCACTGGTTCCAGAAACAAAATCTTTACCGAAAGCCACGATACAACGGGTCGCGGACTCGTGGCTTGGGGGATTCGTAAGTAGGTAGACCATTGTGGCCGTGGCGCACTGCTTGATCTACCAAGTCCGGAGGACTTGTACGGGGTAGTATGAATAGATATCGATGGCTACGGTGATTTCTGAGTCCGAAAGGATGCAGCTACGTCGTCAGTATATGTCCCAGCAGGAGGCATGCTCTCAGCAAGCCCCAACTCATACCAATCCATTCCGCTTCAAGTCCGTTCGTCAAAGAGATCAAATGTGGAGATGGGAGGTTGTATTGCGTCCTCCACTGCCATCCGCGTGGTCAACCCCGTAGCAAGCAATCTGATTGCGGCATCTTGGAGCAAACATCAATTGGTGGTACCTTTTGATTTTGGCGAGAACCGGCTGCGTCGCTCAAGCCTCACAGGGAATTTGCTTCCTTGTTGCCGGTGGGTAGCACAGCTCGGTCAATAGTAACCAAGTCATGGTGCACGAAGATGGTTGCGTTGTCTTGTTCGCGCAGGAGAAGCCTTGAATTGGGTCTGCTCGAGATCAGAGCTTGAAGAATGGCTCAAGGGAGCTCCCATGTCCATTGGGCCCATTCTGCGGGTCACTTCATTCCAGCTGGATGACGAATGATTTGGTCGCGTTGCTATATGGAAGAGTAGCAAACGAATCAACATTTGAGAGAAACGATCCTGATCTCACGTACCTACATAGACGAAATCAAACGTCCTGGTTTGTGATCTTAACACCCTCGGCGGCTCCCTTGGTGAACGAGCAGCCAGCCTCTCTGCGGATATTTTGTGCTTCAATTCAAGTCGCTGCAAGTAGAGAGATGCGCGGCTACGCTGCTCCTTGCTGGCTGCAACGGCCATTTCTTGTTGTGTGCGAATGGGAAATTTGGGATCCGGTAAGCGAGTGAACTGCATGCGTATGAGGACTGGTAGAGGTTGCGTGGCCTCTATCAGTGGGCTATGTTTTGGGATGCGGAGGAGCTTAGCAGTGTCTCTAAGGAGATGATTAGCTTCCTGGTCACCTCCGCAATCAAGTCGTGTCGATTGATACCTTATCACCACTCTCGCTTGGTCACTCCGTTCAGCGAGAGTCCAGGATAACCAAAGGCCAGCAGCGACGGTGCGTGGGCGGTTGTTGTCGGCCTCTCGACGGTTATCGCTTTGTTCTCAGATTCGTCTGTCTGAACAAGGCCCAAGCCAATGACAGACGGGGCTGCGATCTGGGACAAGGGACAGTTACCTTGGGAAAGCAGCCAGCTTTGTTAGCGGGCGATCGAGGGCGCCTCCTAGTGGAGCTGCAATTTCTTTGTGGTGCAGCCAGGCCATTGACCAGCAGGGGCGCCTCTTGGTGTCAACCCCCAGCAGGGGACGGGTGCATGGGTGCGCTCCAGGCTTTACCTGTTCCTGAACGGCCACTGGGCCACCCCCAGACACAAAGGAATCACCCAAAGAGATGCCGGTGCCCAGAATTGCGTCGGTCGTCTCCCCTTTCCCATTTCTTTCCCAACCTGCATATTCCATTGCACACCAAACTGAACACTGCATTCTCTCTTGCGTCCACCACCACTGTCCATCTCTCTATCCTCTTCATCTTTCTCCCGCTCGCCCTCAGTTGGCCCACGTTCATTACCAGAGAGACATTTCTCTCGTTCACTCCTTTGTACAGATCCCTTGACCTAGACGCCAACTTCCTCCCTGTCCTCCATCCCTACCGAAAAGCCCAGCTGGCACTCGAGCCTCCGTGCCCAACATTCCAGCACTGATCATATGAGTCTCTGGCTTTGTATGCCCTCCTGACCCTGCAAGCGGCCTCGAACATCCCTTGCTTTCTTCGCCTCTTTCATTGGCAAATTCATTCTCTGCAAACATTGGAATCAGACAAAGAGCTAACACGCGGGTCGTGCTTATCACATAGATTCGTCTTTTGCAGTCGGACATAACCTATACACTCGTTGACAATTTCCCCTATTGCTAGTCTTTGAGAGACTGTTGCGTACACTCGTTTCGACAATCCCAACGCAGTCGACATGAGATTCTCCTCGATTGCCTTGACGGCAGTCGCTGCCACGGCCACTGTTGCCCAACCTCATGTCCACAAACATGGACGCTTGCACGAGCACAAGGAGCGGGATGTCACCGAGACCGCTTGGACAGCGGGTCCAACCGCCTACGTGTATATGCTCAATGGCAAGGAGCTCTCAGCTGGAGAAGTGTGCGAGGGTCTGGAGGACCATGAATTGAAGTTCGTGGATGGTCAAGATCCCGGCGTTTGCTCCCAGGCTTCACCAACAAGTACCTGGTCTTCGGCTCCTTCAACTTCGACGGAATCGAGCGCTGCTCCCTCGACCACTACCTGGTCGGCACCTGCGTCTTCCTCTGCACCAGCAGAGTTCTTCCAGAAACCATCTTCGTCAGATTGGTCCAGTCCAAGCGAATCTGCGAGTTCCAGCTCTGCTCCTGCTCAATCTTCGTCTGTGTCCTCTGGCGGCACCGGTATCAATGCACCATTCCCGGACGGTCAACTCGATTGCAGCACTTTCCCCTCGCAGTACGGTGCCATTGCTCTCGACTACCTTGGAATGGGTGGCTGGTCGGGCTTGCAAGCAGTTACCATTTCCGGTGGCTTCGTTAACCACATTGTGACTGGTGTGTCGGGCGATACTTGCACAGAGGGAATGATGTGTTCCTATGCCTGCCCTCCTGGCTACCAGAAATCCCAGTGGCCTTCGACTCAAGGCGCCACTGGTCAATCTGTTGGCGGCCTCTCTTGCTCTGGCGGCAAACTTCACTTGACCAACCCTGGTCTCTCCAACAACCTTTGTATTACCGGCGTTGGTGGTGTTCAAGCTACCAACAACGCTGGCGGTGTTGTCGCCATCTGCCGTACCGATTACCCTGGGACTGAGTCCGAAACCATTCCGGTCGAACTTCAACCTGGTGAAACAGAACAGTTGACCGTTCCTGATGCTGCCAGCTACTATGAATGGCAAGGACAATCGACCTCTGCCCAGTATTACTTGAATCCTATCGGAGTGTCTGCCGCTCAAGGCTGCCAATGGGGATCGCCTGGCCAAAATATTGGTAACTACGCCCCCATCAACTTTGGCGTAGGTGCCAAAGGAGGTGTGACCTGGTTATCAATCTTCCAAAATTCCCCAACGACCAATACCCAGTATCAAGGTACTGTTGAGTTGAAGGGTAACTTGTCTGGATCTTGCAAATACTCCAACGGTCAATACTGCGGTGCTAGCGGATGCAACTCACAAGGATGCACTGTAAGTTAAATTTCCCTCCCCACTGGCTATTGCCACGCAAGGCTGACTTTTGTTGTAGGTCGCGGTTATATCGGGCACTGCAACCTATGTCATCTCCAACTAAGCAAACTATCCAAACCATACCTCCTTGTACATGTTACGATCTACTTGCTTTCATATCGCATATCATACCCGGCGTTGACGTCTGGTTTTCCTTACGCGTTTTTCATTGCTAGATTAGAGCGTGGTGGAGCCTTCAGGATCTACAGTGGCAGACGAAGTCTTGTTGGACACTTGGCATATCAGAAAAACAGATCTGAAGAGCATGTGGAGTGGAACGTGCCACAGCGACAATTTTGGTCCAGTTCTGGGTCTTCTATCGGTCGGAAACCGCCGACTTCATCAGCTCCGGCTCCATCTTGAAGATTCTCCCATCGGATATGGAACGGAAATAAGTAAGGCTCTGGCACCTGTGGAAATATCAAAAGTTGTATGCTTATCTGGTCATTTCCATTCAGGCTCGAGATATAACTGTGGGACCAACCTCGATCTGGCCAAGTTTGGAGCAGCTGCAGTGTCATTTTACTACTTGCATGGACCTGGGTTATGATATGCGGATGAAGTGGATGCTTTGAAGAACGGGTCGGCCTGATGTTGAAGACTCGAATTTGGAAAAGAAACTCTCTCGAGGTCGGATTTGGCGCCATGCGTCCTGTGTGTCCCATTGTCCAACATGCTTGTCTAGACGTAGCAATAGTGTACAATATCAATAGAGGGGATGTCATGCTCGCAACTAGCAACCAGTGTCACACGTATCATGTACAACGGGAACACGGGGGTCTCGATATCAACTCTGTACCCCGGTACCTGTGCGAGGAGGTCCAGATTCCAGAAGCCGCTCTGGCCGCTCCATATTAGGTACTGCCTCCGTCCTGCTTCGCCGTTAACAAGATAAAGGAGAAGCCTGCATGCGCCTGAGGACGGCGGCGCAGTTTTCACCGATTTCGTTCTATCCAAAAGAAGAAATGGAAAACGAAACGACCCCAATCTTAAACCACAGGCGATCGGCCTTCGCTTCCTCGAACCATTTCACTAACCGACAACCGGTATCTACTGTACTGTACAAACCTAGTACTTACGTACTGCGTAGCACCCGCGTAGTACGGGCAGTACGGGGTACGAGGTCCTCGCTCGGACATTGCTCCCTATTTGGGGGTGCTTCTCTGCACTGTGTATGTTCTCCGTACCGATCTTTTCTCTCACGTTTTGGGTTAGGAAGAAGGAGGTGGAGGAGGAGAGCCACATTGAAGATTTGATACCAGCTAGGTACGGAATCATTTCTCCTCTGGGCTCCTCTCTCTGTCTCTTTTCCTTTTTCCGCTTCCCCTCCCCCCCAATAGCGGCTCAGATTGATAGAGCCCAAATTGATAGTATCCTCGTTCACAGAACTTGCAGAACCAAAGTCCACTCCATCTCACGGCACAGCACCTGGTCCTTCTCCTCTGTTCCAGGCCCGCACGCTGCGGTGCCTACGCCAGCGACGTCCGCGTCAAGGCGCCACAGGGCGCCTTTCCTCCTCTTGCCCTGCTCGAGCAGATCGCATGGGTGCTTTGCGTTGGCGAGGGTGGCGGCATCGTAGAGCTGCGTGGAGAATTGCATGTGTGGACGATCTTGCTCGACATTGGGGGCTGGGAGGTACGTTGCACGGAGGATGGGGACTGGGACGACCTCGCTTGCTGGAGGACCTTGCCCTGCCTTCCCGTCGGCGACGTCGTTGTCGTCGTTGTCGTCTCTAACCTCTGCGAAGAGAGGACCGTCCTCTGACGGGGCCGTCGATACCATGCACCACCGAACTTCACTTCGGTTCCCGTTCTCCTGAGGCACCTCGTAGTGTTGTGCCATGTCGGTGATTTTGCGTTCCCAGATCCCCACCTGTTGAGAGAGGTATTTGTCATTATAGGACTCCAACGGCCCGCGGCCGAACCATTTTACGTATTTGTATTGAGGTGCGAGTTGGATGGAATGGCCGATCCGAGGCAGGTTGCGTGGGTGCGAGCCATGCGGGATAAGGCGCGTGTGGATTTGCATCGTCAGTCGCGGTTCCGTACCTGCGGTCGAGGAGTAGTCGTTGTGGCTACTACTGCTGGGACTGGCGGTCGAAGCGGTGCTGATAGTGTAGGTAGTAATAGCATCAAAATGCCAGGCCAGACTTGGTGGAGAGAGAGAATGCTCGGCTTTCAATGTCACCACCGGAACCTCCACGATCTCGTCCGCCGAATCCGGGTTGATCCTTGTCGAGGGCGTCGAACTCGGCTGCATGCTCACCTTGAATCTCCTCAACCGACTTGTCATCATATGCAGACCGAATCTTTTCCATTCGCCCGTCTGCCATGCAACGTCATTGTCGGTGGGTGGTCGCCAAAAATCCAGAGAGAGCAAGGGAGAGGGCGAGGCCGGATTGTCGCTCTCAACACGGGTGTCGGACAGGACTGGGTTGGAGTTGTGGGTGAACGAGGAGATCTGCCCGCGGACGCGGTCGAAGGTGATGGTGGTTGTGGAGTTGGAGATTTTGTAGACCAGATGGGTTGTGGAGACGGTGAGCACTGGCGCGCTGGAAGCAGTGGGAGATGGAGTTGTCCCTGCTCTGCTTCCGTGCTCGGAAGAGAGAACGCTGGTGAAGGATGACTTGAGATTTGTGGCGGGCTTGCTTAGTTGAGTCTGATACCACGCTATCACATGGCCGGCCTTTGCCCATCGCTTGTCCCTTTTCAGCCGGAATGAAACCGTGAGCCAGCATTCGTGGGGAGTTTTGTTCTTGAAGACATCCTCTGGAAGACGGATTCTTCCTTCCTTGCCTGGTGGGACTGCGGGAATGGCCAGTACTCCGGCCGCAATGAGCTTGGTCCTGTTCGGGGGTTCGTCAGATGAAGCCCTATTATCGTTCGAAATTGGGGCGGGATTGACCAACCCTTGCATACAAGCTTGGACGTCGTACTCCGCTCTGACATGTTCCAATCCAACGAAGTTGTAATGGTTTCGTACAATGAGATCTGTCCCGTCAAGCATGACCTCAATCGGCTCGTATATCTTCTTCAGTTCTACCAAGCCCCGAGTGGGTGTATGGTCACTGTGACACAGGCCGTCCATGACGAAAGTGCCATCGTTTGGCACATCTCCAAAGTCGCCACCATAAGCATAGTACTTTTTGCCGTTGGCATCTTCTTTCCAGAGTCCGTGGTTCGCCCATTCCCAGACGAATCCTCCTTGAAGCCGTCTGTGAGAGCGGAATAGGGATCGGTACGTATCCAAAAGCCCTGGGCCGTTACCCATTGCATGGGCATATTCACAAAGGATGATGGGTTTCTCGAAATCATCGCCGTCGGACTCTGCCTCCCTCTTTAAGTCTGCAGGAGATGTGTACATGTGAGATATCATGTCGGTGGACTTGGCTTGCCAGTCTGGTTCGTAATGTATCAAGCGGCCAGAATCACGCTGCTTCGCCCACTTGGACATGGCAGCGTGATTGCGGCCGTAGAATGCTTCATTGCCCAACGACCAGATGATGACACTTGGATGATTCTTGTCCCGTTCAACCAACTGGTGCATCCGATCAAGATAGGCAGACTCCCACTCGACGTTATCAGAGGTGTAATCTGCAGCATCTTTAGAAGTACGTTGCACCTTTTCCTCGTAGCTCAGGCCGTCAAGATCGAGCCCTAAAGCGGCTGCAGTAGCAAAGCCATGGCATTCGAGATCTGCTTCGTCAATGACCCACAAACCCAATTCATCACACAGGCCAGGGAGTCCAGGATGGGAGGGATAATGAGAACATCGCACTGCATTGATATTGTGCTTCTTCATAAGCAGGAGGTCGCGACGAACCCAGTCGAGCGATACCGCACGGCCTACGTGCGGGTGGTTGTCATGACGATTCGAGCCTTGGAATAGGATGGCCTTTCCGTTGACGCAGATGTTGCCATTTTTGAGCTCAACGGAGCGAAAACCAACACGGTGGTGGACGGAATGAATCGGAGTAGTGCCATCTTTGACTGAGCAAAGGCATATATCTAACCTGTAGAGATAGGGTGTCTCTGCAGTCCATTTGCGTGGATTCGAGACATTGATCGAATGTGAGTATTTTGTAGATCTTGCTGAAATGAGGATGTGCTCCTCCCTGTTGACGGTTCTGCCTTCGGCATCCCCAAGCATCAAGGATAGGAAGCAATCGTCATCCAACACCAGATCCAGGTCAACGTCCAATTTTGCGTCCTCATACTTTCCGTCAAGATGCGTCTTTATGAAAAAATCATCGATTCGTGTCCGACCTGGAAATGCTATTAGATGCACATCACGAAAGATGCCAGAGAGCCACCATTGATCTTGATCTTCGATATAGCTTCCGGAGCACCATTGGAGAACTTTGACCAGGACATGGTTGGGTTTGCCCCTCACAACATGCCTCGTGACATCGAATTCTGCCGGATTTCGACTCCCTTGAGCATAGCCAATCTCCACTCCATTCAGCCACAGATAGAAGGCGCTGTCGACTCCGTCAAACCTCATTCTCAGCTGACTAGACTCGTCGAATGTGGGGGGGAGATCGAAATCTCGACAATACGTTCCAGTGGGATTCTCGGTTGGTGCATCAGGTGGACAGACGGGAAAGGGGTAGACGACATTTGTGTAATGAGGTCTGCCATAACCCTGCAATTGCCAATGGCCTGGAACATTGATGGGGGCCCAGGAAACCTCCTGCCTTTTTGGATCGTATGGGGAATTCGTGCTGAATATTTTACAGTCAGGCGCCTGTTGAGGGCTCGGGGAGTAATTGAAGGACCATTTCCCGTTCAAACACATGGCCGTGTCCGGAATATAGTAGGAACGAGGAGGTAGGCGATTGCGTTGGAAGATTTTCTGATTGCACCAATCTGGAGTCGACTGAATGCTGTCTGGAGATGCTATGAGATTAGTCCTCTCCATCGGGCGTCTTCCTTCTTCATCATTTACCAACTGCATCTTCTCGGGGGGCAAATGCTAATATCATGAACATGCAGAAAGGGAGGTGTTACAAGAATGATTACTTCCTGATCGGATGACTTGAAGCTCACCTATCTACTCGGTAGTTCGTCGACCAATCCTAAAGAGCTTTGAGAACACATGAGGGAAAAAACGAGTCTAGAAAATGCGGGGTTGGCAAGGCTGGATATCGGAAAACTTTCCTCATTAGTTAAAGGCGAGGCTGCATCCCTTATGCGGAGACAAGGCTGGCTCGGAACCCGAACTGCTGGGTGCAATTAGAAATCTGGCGATCGGTCCCGCGGTGTCGCTAGTGTCTTTTGACCAGCTGTGCCGGAGAAAGGCGGAGACCCCGAGGTGCAGTAGTCTCTTATACCTATCCATAAGGGCCGAGAGATGGGGAAGCCAAGTTGGGAATGGGTTGTGTTGATCCCCCAGTTTCTCCAAAATGATCAGAAATAGAGGGACGACTGACGTCTTTTACTTTTGCTTCGTTACCGCAACCGTTCCGACTTCCTCTCCTAGCTTGAATATCAATGGCGAATAGGATATCAAAGTGAATTTGTGGCGACAACCCCACGGCTTTGGGCTCTGGGGATTCAAGCACCGTCAGTTAACAAGGCACTGGTGGCATCGTTCCGAATAGTTACGCACACCCACCGGGTTTCCACACAGGAAAAGATCTGAAATGGGATTCAATCGTGGCAAACTTAAGCCCACCATGACCCAAAAGGGAGGAGCAGCAACGCGGCGGTGGCGGCCAAGTCTGGCTCTCGTCAAGATACATGAATGACATAGGCGTCAGATAGAGCGACCAAGTGATCGAAGGACCTACATCCTCGTTCTCTGGCGGGGTTGATCAAGGACACCCAAAGGCCTTGGGTCGACAGGTTCGTCATGGCAGGGTCCGTTCTTGGTACATCAGGTCGATATTTCGGGAAAAAGTAGCCTGTTGGTGGACATCTTCCACCTAAAGCGGTACCGATCGACATCGACGATTTCGAGAACGAGATGTCACCGAGGATGTCACCAGAGGGAAGCTTGGAGAGCCTTTTGGAGCCTGCACTTCTCGAGAGGTACCAAAGAGGTACCCAGCTCGCTAGTACGACTGATGGTTGCACCTGAGACACTTATGCTCCGCCGTGTGTCAAGCTTTGAGGTTAGAGTATCTCCGGCATTTTCCGACGACACCTTTTGGGGCACCATAGATTAACGTTTCGATGTCCAACAACAGCATCACTTGACAACCAAGTCACGTTCTACTGAAATTTCCAGGACCAGAATATGAGGCAGGTCTCACTCCCGCTGGAGGACCTGCCTGTTTGGGCTCATTTCAACGATGTCCAGCTCTTCCAAGCTTCAATCGAACCGCACATCATGAGAGAAGATGGCAACGACAAAGGGGGTGGCTTGATCGCAAAGAGCGACCATGGTCCGGGAGAGCTACTTGTTGCTGTCCCCGGCGAACTGGTCTTGTCGAAAGAGCGAGTTGAGCAATATGCAAAAGCAGATCAGAATCTGAAAGAACTCATCGAGGCAGCAGCTTCCTTGTCCCAGGTAGGCCTTGACAACAGTGTATCTGAAGCATCCATCAGGTAGGTCATCTTTGCATCACACTGACTTCTCGGCCTAAAAACCAGAATCCCCGGACGGCAGTGCTATTGTTTCTCATCTACCAGATGACGATCAACACCCCCAGCTCCCAGGGCCGTGCGCTAGGGTTTAATAATCCTTTCGCCGGCTATGTCAAACTGCTGCCGCACGAGATCCTTCTCCCGACATTCTACACCACCGAGGAAAGGAAACTCCTCATTGGCACATCTCTCTCAGAAGCACTGGACCAGAAATTGATTAGTCTGGAGCGGGAATTCGACAATCTAAAAGCTGCAACTGCAAAGATCCCCTGGTGCCAAGAGATTTGGTGGAGTGAATGTGCAGATTGCTTGACCTTGGAAGATTGGAAACTTGCAGATGCCATGTATCGCTCTCGTGCGCTGGAGCTGCCCCGCAACGCTGGCGTTGGCATGGTCCCTGTCATTGACATGGCCAATCATGCCTCCGACCGCCGATATAATGCCAGGTTCGAGGTGGATGAAGGCTCGGGCGCCATATTGCTCGTTGTCCGAGATGACAGGATGGTCCAACAAGGAGATGAGATTACCATAATGTACGGTTGCGGCGGAGCATGCGAGATGATATTTTCTTATGGGTTTCTGGAAGAGCACGTGAGCAGTGCCAGGGAGATATTCCTCAGTTTGTCTATCCCACCCGACGACCCTCTACGAATGGCCAAGATCCGGTTTGCGCAAGAAGCGCCAGGGGTCCGTATCTATGTCGATGACTCAGATCAGGTACGGTGGGAGAGCAGCTTTGTCTGGTGGGCGTGCATCAACGAGGAAGACGGTCTAGATTTTCGAGTGGAGCAGACTATCGACGGAGATGCGGAGCTGAAGGCTCTGTGGAAAGACAAGGCGCTTGTCGCGGACACATTACAGTCCACCTTGCTTCAAGACCCCCTCCGAGACATATTCGTCCTGCGGGCCGCTATAATGGTGCAAGAAAGGGTTGAAGCTCAAGGATCACAACTCGCAGAAAGTGAAGATTACTATATCAGCACTGTTCGCAGTGATCAGGTCAGAGAGTCGGTATATCGGCCCATCGGGAAACTTCGGGGCCTGGAGATGGAGCTCCTGACCAGGGCTTATGAAACGCTTGAGAGAGAGGTACGTTACTTCGCATACTACACATTGTTACTAGCGCATGTTCTAATTTCCTACCTCGTACAGAAGACAGAACTCCTGGAATCCACGGTTGTCCGTGACTACTTGGCACAAGGCCTGGCCGACACACAGTCCCCAGCTAGGACCCCAGACGACTTTTCGTAAGAACAGGCTCGTGGTACAAATGCGAGATGGACAGAGATCCCAACCGAAGAAATGCTTATTCAGTCTTCCATCTTCCATTTTAAAGCGGGTCAGCCCGGAAGGCATGGATTGAGTGGTGTGAGCTACCAAATCAGAGTAACGCTATGAGGCACTTCTGCACCGAAGTGGGCTGACGACGCACCTACTGTTAGTTCGGACCTGCCAGGCATAACTTATCACTGGCCCCTCCTTGCCTCTCGCAAGAGAGTGGGCTCATCGAGTCGTAGGCAAATGTGGCCCAGTCTGGGGTTTTTCCGGCGGCTTCCGTTCGTCCATGGACCACCGACAAGACTCGTGCTGGCCAAGGAGTTGTGACGGCCAGCGACGACAATTCAACCCTCGAGCGGACATGAAGGCTCTTTGCAGCAAAATGTACTTGATACGTGCTGGTACCAAAGGTGATGAAAGCCCAGATCCATCTACATCATTGCCACTTGCCACCTCTGGTGAATTGCTTCATGGTGTGTTTGAGCGGTTCCGCTAGACCAACAGCAAGACTGGGCAAATTAAGCGAACCAGGCAAGAGAAGCGGTAGTTTGATTCAGGTCGAGCTGGAGATAGGTTTTCAGTGGTGGAAGTCGATCGCATGATGTTGGGAACCTCACCCTGCTGGGCGGGAATGGCTCGGGTGGATGGAAGCAGAGGCGATTAATGCGCTTTGATTGGATCCCAAGCCATCTTACTGAGGTGGCTGCGTCGGAAAGGTCGATTCGAAAACGCTATTATTGGGGCCTTTTGCCCCTTCTGCCGATCTTGTTTCTGACTTGTTGGTGCTCGACGCCTGCGGGGAAATGGAACCTAGCTGGAACGAGCAAAGGGCACGATAGGTTGTAAGAAGAGAATTCACCTAAGATGATGATGGCTTGCCTGGTAGGTAGTATGGGTTGAACCCACTTGATGGAAACTCGGCGGAATAGCCGGTTCCTCGGCCTGGGGACACTAGGCCCCGTAGGGGTTTCCCAGGCCTCCTTAGGCTCCCTACCACTTGCCTAGCCCTTGGACTCGGAGCGTTCTTACTCGGGGTCTCAACAAATCTTTCACACCCCGCGCTGTTCCTTCCTCGCTCCATGCCCCGATGTGCATCCCCAGGCCAGCCCCAAGCCACCCACAGTGGCCAGGGAGCGGCCCTTGTTCATATTTTGGCCGTGTCGGAACGAAATTCCTCACAAATCCAATACACTGTGAACTTCTCCTGCACAACACGAACACGAAAAGAAAACTTCATTCAGACCACCTCCCCCAGAACAACCAGATCCCGCCCTCCCTGCCGCTTGGTTCTGCTCCGTACCCTTGTCCAACCTCCCGTCGAACGCAAGTCACCCAATCGAATCTTGCCTCGCCCTGATCTTCTTCGAATACGCATCCAACTACTCTCTTCTGTCGCGGGGTGGCATGTTGTCATAATCTCGCTCTCGCCCCTGTGCTTGTTTTTCTTTTGCATCCGGTCCTCGTTCTCTTGGAAGTTGTGGACATTTGTTGAATCATTTGCTTGAAAACGCCCTTCCCTAATCTCAACCTCCCCCCCGGCACGACAAACGTGGTATCTTGTACTTTATATGCAGCTGCAATACTTGCCACGCCGGTCACAGACCTCACACACCTTGCCACGATGCCCGGCATCTTGCCGATGAAGATGATTCGCGTGGGGAGCAGTACGCAGAGCAGGATTGCGCAAGCTTGTGATAGGTGCCGCAGCAAGAAGATCCGGTGCGACGGCGTAAGGCCATGCTGTACCCAGTGTGCCAATGTCGGCTTCGAGTGCAAGACCAGCGACAAGCTGAGTCGCAGAGCATTCCCCAGAGGCTACACAGAATCATTGGAAGACCGTGTTCGCGGCCTTGAGGCCGAGGTTCGAGAGCTCAAGGAGCTGCTGGACGAGAAGGATGAGAAGATCGACATGCTCTCCCGCATCCACAGTTTCTCTCCTCCCTCTCGAAAATGCTCTGCATCTTTGTCGCCTTCACATGCTGCACAGGTCAAGGCTGAAGTTGAATCTGCCAGAGAAGAGGTGCTGCACGTTGAAATCCCGGCACCGGTGCAGCCCAAGGCCACTTCGACTGGTTCCTCGACCACGCC